GGTGGTTTGCCTTTTACCTCCCTTTTACCCTCCCTGTCCATAGTAGGCGAAGCCCCAAAAACAAAAACGGTTGGGTGGTTTCCCTTTTAGCCTCCCTGTCCATAGTAGGCGAAGCCAAAAAAAAACACGGTTGGGTGGTTTCCCTTTTAGCCTCTCTGTCCATAGTAGGCGAAGCCCCCCCACCAAAAAAAATACAGGTTGGGTGGTTTGCCTTTTACCCTCCCTGTCCATAGTAGGCGAAGCCCCAAAAACAAAAACGGTTGGGTGGTTTCCCTTTTACCCTCCCTGTCCCCAGTAGGCGAAGCCAAAAAAAAACACGGTTGGGTGGTTTCCCTTTTAGCCTCTCTGTCCATAGTAGGCGAAGCCCCCCCCCCAAAAAAAAAAAAGTTGGGTGGTTTCCCTTTTAGCCTCCCTGTCCATAGTAGGCGAAGCCCAAAAAAAGAAGAAAAACTGGTTGGGTGGTTTCCCTTTTACCCTCCCTGGGCGAAACCCAAAAAACAAGAAAAAGAACAACTCGCAAGAACAGGTGCAAACCCCAGAAGTCCCAGAGTCATTGGGAACCCTGACATCAGAGTTCCGTGAGAAGTTTCGTGTCCTTTTCGACTCTGACAAACATCGCCACCGACCTCATTCACCTGCGGATTCATGTCCTGTTCTCCCCCATTCTTGAGAAAATCGACTCCGGCCCCTGAACAAAATAAATATATATATATATATATATGTATTTATTTATTTATATAAAATCCAACAAAATCCCGCTCCACCAAAGTGGGGGTCTCCAGGTCCCAAAGTCCTCCCCCGGTCCGAGCGCTTTCGCCCGCGCCTCGTCGCAGCCCTTCTCGAGCAACTGGCTCCGGGCCCTGAGCGACAGCGCCACCGCCTCCGCGGGCAGCTCGAAGAGGTCCCCCTCCGCACACTTCAGCTTCCTCGGACGGGCGCTTGGGCTTTGCGTTGCGCGTCTCCCCCCCCGTCTGAGATGGTGTCCTCTACAACCAGACCACTACCAGCTATATAAGGTGATTTGTTGCTCCACTTTGCCTTGGGGGTGGTTTGGGGGGTAGTGGACACCAGCTCCGCCCTCCGCAAAAAGAATCAACAGACTGACCCCCCCCCACCCCAGGGTCCACCATCCTCCCCGCCATTTCCCCTCGTTTCGCGCCCCGCACGTTTGCCTCAAAAAAAATGAAAAGAAAAGGACAGAACAAGACAAGAGCGACAACGAGGTCCACCATGCTCCCCCCCGCCTCCCCCCCCGCCCCACTTCCACCCCCTTCCCCTTCCCCCCCCCCCGACTCCAGCCCTGAGCTTAACAATTGTTGCACGGCGACGGTTGGGCACTCCAGACTTGCTGCAACTTCCTAATCAAACCTTGAGACACGATTCGAATTGATGCGTTGCCTTCCTTTGCCTTCAGAGGCGTGTCTTTTTTGGGGACACCCTCCTTTGGTTGGCTTTAAATGGAAACCAAAAGGAAAACCACCATTTCATGGGGTCCAAAATCCCGGAAAGCCGAGCCATAAGGCTTCTTGAGCCCTCGTTTTGGACACTTCGCACCCCAGGAAGTGGTTAGTACTCGTGGCTTTCCCAGTTGCAAGTCCCCCAAGTAGGTTAAATCACCAGGGCCAGCGTTTCCAGGCGCAACCGAAGGAAGCACCCCATCATGTAAACCCTTGAGGCCAAAAACCAACGAAACAATGTGCTATCCCCAACAGAGCGAAGCGGAACCTCCAAAACCCTCGGAAGCAAGCGGCTCCGAACCCCAAAACCTATCTGGACAGAGACGCCATCTGTTGGGAAACAAAACATGGATACCAACTCTTGTGGCAACTGGAAAGTCCAGGGGAAAACTCGAGTCTTTTTCGTTGAGCCCCATCCCACCCGGCAAGAAAGACATGCTGCAACTGAACAGCGTTCACTATCCCACCCGGCAATAAACTGGGCTCAGCTCCCCTGCTGAAAGTTTGACTTTTAGTGGGTTAAACGGACACCCCCCACTTTCCATCTAATTAATTTTTAAAAAAATAATGAACCGGACGATTCGCTGGGCACTGCCAGCGTCTCGGCGCTTTCCGTTTTGGAAAAGCCGAGGGTCGCTTTCTTGCCCACCAGCTCACGGGGGCATGCCTGGCCTGGGCCCATCTTCATCTGTCCGAAGACTTCATAGGTTGCCTCAGGGTCGATGGCCGGAATGGCGCCAGAAAACTGCCAGAAAGGCGGGAGGGAGGCGAAATCCGCTTCTTGCACCGCTTTGAAACCATGGTTGAAACCGTTGTCTATCTTGGGTGGGGCTGCCTCAGGGTCCCACTGGGTTCATGACCCAAAAGCCAAGAAAGTCTCGGCCCCACGAATTGTGACCCCTATGCGCAGAGTTTGTTTGAGACTTGGAGCCATCCTCACTGCTTGATTCGAGCCCGGCAAATATCCAAACCCCAAAAGTCTTCCCAAAGACAAGTCTTCCACAAAATCCCAACATCCCATACCTTTTTGGCTCACAAAACAAGCCTTCCCAAAAATCCCAGCATCCCATACCTTTTTGCAAAAAGGTATCAGCTTCGTCCAACAGGAGCGAGCATCAATGCGCATTCGAGCTACTCCCGCCATGCCGTGCCACTGCCCAAGTACAATTCAAAGTTTCACCGGCCCTGGAACAGGGGCTGAAGCCGAGATGGCTGCAACGGAGCGAACGTGATCCGAAGTTTAACCCCCCCAAAAAAAAGATCCCAGTCGCAACCGGGGGAAAATTGAAGCACTGCTTAATGCATCGGACGGGTGACTTGGATTCAACGGGAGCCGTCTTTGAAAATGTTGCAGCCTGGTTTCGGGCCACGATGACCACAAGAGAAAATGCAGCACGGCCAACGTCAGTGTCTACTTTGGGTGTGGCTTGTTTGATGGTGCCCTTTTTTTTATGTTTTTGAAAGGGACGCCAAAAGGACAATCACTATTTTGGGGGTCCCCTAAAAAACACACACACACACACACACACCCATTTGGCTCCGCAACTTGGCACCCTCCCTGGAATTTTCAGCCCGGACTGCCAGCATAAAGCCCGAGCGGCGGAGGCGCAAAACCACGGACATCTTTTCTTACAGGCCACGCTCCTACGCATCTGCGGAAGGCCACCACACAAAGAAATCTGTCAATCCGGCGAGTCGACCGCCCGGCGTCTTCTGCGGCCGATTTGGTCACATCGCCGGTCAGGCCGCGGCAGAGAAAATGGCCTGCACATGGCCAAGCTCACAACAGCAACAAGCCACTTGCTGCCTGACATGTTTGGGGAGGTCCAGACTTTTGCCTCAGTTTGCTGCCCACCTGCAACGGGTGACTTGCTGTGCAACAAGTTCGGCTTTCCACAGCAGCGCACCAACGAAGCGCCCCCAATCCTGAAGCTAATGAGCGCCCAGATCCCCACTCCAACCCACCCCCTGGCATGAGGGGAAACGATAGGACGTGTACAAAATATGGCCAAAGTTCAAATGAAGACTGGGAGCGCAGACGTTTTGCTGTACTCCAGCTCTGGAACCTCATGTGATATTGAACCTTGTGTCATGGCTGGGGCGGTCCCTTGCCAATCTTCATCAATTAATCGCCGGGTTTTGAGCAAGTGGCTCATGTTAGGGATGGGTCTGAGTCACAATCAAAAACCCGGTATTAAAATCCACCGACGCCAGTCGAGCGTGTAGACTTGGTTTTCCTTCGCAACCTCTTATCAAAGCCGAAGGCTTTTGGGGCTGCCATTTTTTGAGCATGGTGTGCTGGGTGTCCAAAACCCTGTATTTTTCAAGTTTTTTTGGGGCTTGCGTGCAAAAAATCTGCGTTTCGCCTAGGTCTCTAGGGGGAGGGGGTTCTCTCGGACGCGCAGGATCTGCATCCCCGGCATCATCAGGATCATCTTGCTGCCATGAATTTGTCTCTTTTCTTGCAGATACAAATGGTGTTTTGCTGCTCCAAGCGATGTTGGAATTGGCCTGTTAGGGGTCTGGGTGGGGCCAAGTGCAGTGATACGTTGAGGAACTGTTTGAATTTGCAAAATGTGTTTTTTTGGCAATTCCCCACCTGTACAGAGCAGTTACTGCAAAACATGTCCTGCATTATCGTGCTTTTGGAAGTCTAATTTTAGGGTATTTGAGGGGGGTTGCTAGTATCTGCTTTTGATGGATGAAAAAAATGAAAAAGGTCTTAACATCCCTTGCACCCCACTGGCGTCAGCGGATCGCGTAGCGATTTCAATAGTCTACCCAGAACCATGTAAAGAATTAAGAAGGCGGCCACAACTATTTCTGGCGACTGCCCCTTGCTAACCTTCATCTACCCATTTTCGGCTGGTGCAGCCGGTTCGGCTGCACCCCCAAAAAGCTTCCCACCCCCAAGACGTCACGGGGGGGCCATCTGCCCAACAAAGGCGGAGTTGGGCCCGTCCAAAATGGTTTTCGTTTTCCTTGGCTTCCCTTTAAACCAACCCCAGAAGAGCACCCTCAACAACACACACAACCTTTTTCAGCCATCCTCTTGAAGAAGGTGGTTGAAACACACATGTTGCTTAAAGGCTTACCCAACTGAAGGGACATGGGGGGTGATCAAAAGGTCCGTTACATAGGATGACCATAGTGGGCAACCACTAAACGCACGATATGCCCCATCAGATGGGAAAAGTTACCCATGGCCATTTGTCTTGGTTGCTGTTGACCCCTCTGCAAAAAAAATGTGGGCTTCGTGGAAAACCCAACTTGATTTCCCAAAAAAGTTAAAGTCTAAAGATCCAAGCCAAGAGCAGTCAAGATTTGGACTAAAAGTATGATATGTCCCACTAGATGGGAAAAGTTGCCCATGGCCATTTGTCTTGGTTGTTGCTGACCCCTTTGCCAAAAAAAAAAACTGTTTGTGGGTTTCGTGGAAACCCAACTTGATTTCAACCAAAAAGTTAAAGTCTAAAGATCTAAGCCAATAGCAGTCAAAGGATTTAATAAAATGGGAAAAGGAGAAAAATGAGAAATAGAGTATTTACAAGACCAAATAGGCAACCAATATTCCAAGCAAAAAAGTGTAATTGATTCAGATCCAGATTGGGGGTCAGGAATATTGATCAATCCCCGACATCTTGCCAGCGCCAGGAAAACCATCGCCTGGCGCTTCGCGGCAATCTTCTCCTTCAGCTTGGCCCGCTTCTCCTGCGCGCGGCTTTCAGGAAAGGGGTCTATCTTGAAAGAGGAGCCTCAGAGGGATGTGTCGCTTTGGCGAGGCTTTTGGCCAAGGAATACCTAAAGGAAAAACCGCGAACGAGGTTGGAGGTCCAGGTCCTAGACGCGAATTCTGAAGACTCCTCTGCTTCAGAGCCACGGATCGCAAGCTTTGGCACCCTTCGCATGGCTCCCCTTGGACAGCCCCTTCAGAGCCCCCTGTGGATATTTGCGAAATCCAGAAATCGCACCACTGCTCTAAGAAACCCATGGGAATGATATGATTACGTAAATACCAACAAACGTTCTGGTTCAACCCTGGTTTCATTTCGTGGTGCGAAATGGATTTCGCAACCATTTGTTTCCTGGGCATTGGAGGGGAGATTCACCTCGGATTCCGTCTGAAGCCCAAAAAGCGGACGCTCTGAGAAAAGACACGCGCTAAAATCCCAAAGGCAGCGCTCTCTTCAGCACACCAAGGCCTCGGTTTCTTGCACGTCTTGCACGCCCGAAGTGAAGGGCCGAACAGCCAAAGCACGGCATGCCGATGGAGCCCCGAACTTGGATAACGGTCCTGTTGAGGGGAACCAAGTCCTTTCGATCGGGACGTTATACCCAGTCCAACTTGTTCGGCTGGCAGAGCCAGCGCGGCCTTCGCAAAACGGCGCCAATGGTGTATCTGAGCCTGACTGCGCGATCCCTTGAAGACATCGTCTCTTCACATAAACAACAATTGGACTCAACTCGCCATTTCTCCACAAGGAAAAAACTTTGGACTCAACACGCCATTTCTTCCCTCTTTGGGCGAACAATTCTTCTAGCTTCTTTTTCCTTGGAAAAAGTCCAGCAGGCCATGAGCGACCGGCGCTCCGCTCGATCGAGCGATCGGCGAGCGGCGCTCGGGCGAGCGGCGCTCGGCTCCTCGATCTTGTACTGCCGCTCTGCCGCCGCCTCTGCAAAGGCATGGCCCTCCCCCGCCGGGGCGGGGGCGTTGGCTCCGGCCAGTGGCTTCCTGAAGGCCGGAAGGCGCGCGCCAGGGGTCGGAGGTGCGCCCGACTGGGCGCTGGGGAATGCAGGGGTGCCCTGAAAGAAAACGAAGGGACTTGGTCATCTCAACTTTCCATTCAACTTCCAACTCGTCCCAACAAGGGACTTGAGCCTGGCGCAACCCATGCCCCGCTGGATCATGTCCACTCATTCCCGAGCTAGAAAGCCGGGACAGCACAGGCCCGTCTCTGCAAAGCCATAAGTGGCAGGCGGCGAATAGTGTGCCCACAGTTTCTGACATTGGCAACCACTCAAGCCAAAACTTGGTGAATGTTGTTCGAGCGTACCCTTTCCGATTCGTTTCCCTTCCGTTTGGTGTGTGTGTGTGTGTGTGTGCTTTTTAAAGGTACCTTTTCAGTTTGCCACAAAGAAAAACCAAAAGCAAGACAACCACTTTGGGGGTCCCCTTTCGCGCATACTCTCTTTCCAGTTCAGCAACCATGGAAGTTAACAAGCGGCTTTCCCAAATGGAAAGTAGTATTCCCAAACCCGTCTGTCACCTTCCATGATTGGAGGGTGGGTACACCAGGGTGGAGGTAGATGGAACAATCCCCTCTATTTGGCCAGATAAAGGGGGATGGCTACACCAACCTAAGGGAATCGCGGCGCCCTCTTTCTCCCAACTGTACCCTCTTTCAAGGCAGATTTGGATACCGGGCCCCAAATTGACCTGGACGCCTTGACCTGCGGAGGGGTCCCTTTGAAAGGCCAAACGGTCCAAAATTCCCACGGGTCCGCAGGCTGAAAACTCCGCTTCGGAGGGCCTTTTTCCAGCGGGGTGGCAACCAAACGGGTTGCCGGCAACTTTTCACTTCACTTCTTCGAAGGCCTAAGGACATGTCCTGGTTGTTTTGTTTGTTTTTGGATTTTTGTTTGTTGTTTCTTTCTTGGTCTGACGGGTTTTGGCTTCACTTCACTTGTTCGAATGTTCAGATAGTCACATGGGCCATTCCTCCAGCCTGCGCAGTCTTTTTTTCCGGCCGGGCGGCTCGAGTAGCTCGAAGTTGTTGGGCCGCAGCAGCGCGGTGGTGCCATCATCCAGCCGAACCTTCCACCGGCCGTCCTGCCCGCGTCAGGTGCTGAGAAAACCTGGCAGAACCCCCCCCATCCCCCCCCCCCCCCGCCCCAACAACAACACAAAAGCAAAGGAAAAAACCACGCGGATGTACGCCCACGGGCCATGGTTGGGAGTGGCACTTACCATTGGTAACCCAAGTTTGGATGCGCTTTGCCGGCTGCCAGTTTAGTCGTGGTTACAATTGGAACCCATACACCCGTTGTTGGAACCCTGAGAGAGGACCAGAACCATCCGGGTCTTCCTCAGAACGCCACCAACATCCCCCAATCTCAATGGAACATCTCGAAATTTAGCCCCCCCACCAAAACCAAACACGCTGTGCTTGTCGGATTTCTTCGGGCCATTCTCCTGGAATCAAAAAATTCGTCTCTCAGCCCAGGCCCAAGGAAATGGGTGAAAACTGTTGACCTTTCCGCCGCATCATGTGGCTGTGGGTGTCAAAGATAGGTACCCCAGATGGGTTGCCCTGGTAAGTGGGAAAGAGGACCAAAAACCTGCGGAAATCTGGTGTTGCAAAAATGACCCATACCCATATCCGCCGCGAGGGGGGGGGAAAGCCAAGGCTTTTCGCCTCGCAGCGGTGCACCAGGATGCCCTCCATGCCGTTCTTGGCGCGGAGGTTCACCAGGCGGACCTGAGCGAGCCAGCGGCGCTGAGGTGGGGTGAGGTTGGGTGGTGGGTGGGGCGTGGGCAGGTAGGGTCGGTGGGGTGAGGTGAGGTGGGGTGGGGTGGGGTGGGGTGGGGTGGGGTGTGGGGTGGGTCGGGGTGGGGCGTGGGTGGGGGTGGGGCGTTGGCTGGGGGTGGGGCGGGGGTGGGGGGATTGGCTCGACCCAATGCTGCGAAGGAGCCATGGGGATGGACAAATGGCCAAACCGCATGCCTTGCGACACCATGTTAGCTGGTTAGAGGAGACAACCGAGGAAACCCGAAAATTGTGGCTGAAAGGGGGCATGAGGAAAACCCGCAAGTTGTCTGGCTGAAGGCAAGATGCTGAAGCTCGAAGGCTTTTTTGCTGCTGGGAAATAAGAATGCCGAACCTCAGTGAAGGTTAAGAGAAAATGGGTGTATCTCTAAATATAGAGGGGCCCCAAAACATGGCTGGCCTCCTTTGGGTTTCCTGTTAAACACAAAAGTGGGCACCCTCAAAGAGACACCCCCAAACCTCCATTTGCTTAAATCTCCTGGAAAAACTGAAGCAATGCTTCAGTGGTCGATGGTTCCATCTAAAACCAACACGGGAGAGAAGAAAAAAAAAAAACATATTCGTGGCAGCAAATGCAGGGGACCCCAAAATATGGTTGGCTTTCCTGTTGAAGCCAACCAGAAGTGGGCACCCTCAAAAAAAGACACCCCCTCGAACCTCCATTTGCTTAAATCTCCTGGAAAAACTGAAGCAATGCTTCAGTGGTCGATGGTTCCATTTAAAACCAACACGGGAGAGAAGAAAAAAAAAAAACCTATTCGTGGCAGCAAATGCAGGGGACCCCAAAATATGGTTGGCTTTCCTGTTGAAGCCAACCAGAAGTGGGCACCCTCAAAAAAAGACACCCCCTCGAACCTCCATTTGCTTAAATCTCCTGGAAAAACTGAAGCAATGCTTCAGTGGTCGATGGTTCCATTTAAAACCAACACGGGAGAAAAAAAAAAAAAAAAAAAACATATTCGTGGCAGCAAATGCAGGGGACCCCAAAATATGGTTGGCTTTCCTGTTGAAGCCAACCAGAAGTGGGCACCCTCAAAAAAAGACACCCCCTCGAACCTCCATTTGCTTAAGCCTCCTAGAAAAGCTGAAAAGATATGTCCAGCAGTGGTCGATGATTCCATTTGAGACCAACATATTTGCTTCGGCAAACAGAAGCAAATCTTCTATTTGGTTAAGACCCCTGGGAAATATATATATATATATATATATATTTCATGTAGTGATAGAATCCCTTTAAAACCAACAAGGGAAAATAAAACATATCCTTAAGCAAATGGAAGAAATGCAGGCCACCCAGGTTGCCTACTGCCAAAAGCTTCGCTCAGCTCAGTCTGGCGACGTGGGCACCCTCGGCCAAACACAAAGTCGGCCAATTCCCCAGCGGCGCGGTGCCGTTCCTTGGGTTCGAGCGGTCGGGTGGAAGGGGTTTCACCCAAGGGACACCGAACCCAAATCCAGAAAACTCCAAAGAACATCTACCACCACCCCCACCCTTACCCCTTACCCCCACCCCCCCCCCCCAAATCCAAATCCAAATCCCCCCCCCCCCTCTTTCGCCGGTCCACGAACATGGGGGACCTGACATGCTTGGGGTCCCGGAAGGCGATTCTCCCTTCAAAAGGGACCCGTCTGGTGGGTTCCGGGTTGGAGAGGCAAAGGGGACTCGACAAGGGAGAAAACCCATTCTTCGGGAAGGGCATGACCAGTTATGCTGTGTTTTATCCGCCAGCTTTGGAGAGCAAACACACATGTGTCCAACCAGTTTAAGGTTGTGAACACATCAATCCTGCACGAAGGTAAATCATGGAAAGGCAAACTTAAAGCATTTCCAGTAGTCCTTTAAAACCACAGGGGAACATAACACAAACATGAAGGTTGAGGGTACCTGCACCCCGACAACTCCCGAGAAAAAAAAAGTGTTTGCCGCAACCTGGGAAGTTCTTGAGGCTTCAGGGACCCTTGGGCTGGGGGTGTCTATATTTGGCCATGGGTCAAAATCCAAATCGTACCCCCAGTGAACATCCCAATCCCCACTCAAATAGGTTCTACAATGGTTGGTGCACCTACCCCAAACGGGTTTGACCCACAGACATTTTTCTTGAAACCCGAAAATGGCGATTCTTGGGACCCCGGTGAAGCGAACGCCGAACGCCGAACGCCGAAAGCCCAGGCTCGGCGCCTTGCTGGAAACCCCGTTCTGCGGCAACGGGCGGCGGTCCACCACGGTCAAGTTCTCCAAGGCCTGCGCGGCATTCCCCTGCCAACCGCTGGCGCAGCGGTTGCAGGAGGAAAAGCAAAGGGGAGTCATCATCCAAACCCGGTATTGAAGTCAAGGTCCTCCAGTAGAGAGGTTGGAATCAGGGTGCCAACCTTTCTTCTGTAGTATGTTTTAGTTTTGGAGCCCTCCCAACCAACAAGGGGTGAGAAAGGGCACCTAGCTGGGAAACCTAGAAGTGGTCCATCCCGGGGTTCCCATGCTTCAAGAATTAAGAAGGCGGAGATCCGCAGCTATTTATGGCAAGGGGATCGTCTCTTACTAGCCGGAGGCATCTACCCGGAATTTGAGCAAGTGACTCAGGGGAGGCATCTCCTCGCTTCCGATCGGGCTTGGGGCTTGGCCAGAAAATGTAACCCAGGTGTTTTTCCCCTAAAAAAAAAAATGGGGGGGATAAAGTCCAGGAACTCAGGGAGTTGAGTCTCTTTCCAAGCAAATGGCATAGGCTTGCACAAGCTCACGGTTTTGCAGCCCCCGACTCACGATGAGAACCAAAAAACTAAAAACCTAAAACATTGCCAACAACAGTGAAAATCAACCTCCCAAGTATGGAAGGAACCCGTCCCTCTGGTGAGGAAAATGGTGCAAACCATCACCACCCACGCTCGGTGGCCACTTTGTAACCTCGACAATTCACCCAATCCCTACTGCGGATGGAAGAAATCCGTTTCGCACCACCGGTCTTTCAGAAACCCATGATTCGATTCACCAACATAAAGACCAACAAACCCTATGTGGTCCCACCATGGTTTCCTACCTTGGAAGAATTCGCTTTCCCAACGGGAAAATGATGGTTTCCAATAACCCTGGCTTCATTAGCGTGGTGCGAAATGGAATGACTCACAACCATGCGCAGCAGGCGGCCTGGCGATCGGCGTCCGCCACCTCCGCAGAATAGCTGGGCTCCTCCAACTGAATCTTCCCGGCCGTCTGCGCCACGACCAGCTTCCGCGTCTCCTGCGCTCCGGGCCTCCCAAAAGATACACGATGGACAAACTCCTGCACCACCCAAAACAACCATGGAATGATGAGTTCAAAGTGGCGCAGGATTTTGTCCATCCATAGGAGGTCGCAAACCAAACCTCCGGATGGGCCTCCTGTTGGTCTGCACTTCGGAAACTCGCCGACCCGGCAGCAGCCCAAAAGAAAAAAAGGCGCGAAACGACCATTTTCATCCGATAGAAACGCTACGCGTCGCCGTCGCCCGGCCGAGAGAAGTTTCACAGACTTGAAGCAGCAACCCAACATCCAACTTCACTCAAAAAGGATTGGCTCGAAGCATCTCCATGGCCAGAAACCCATGAGCAGATGGCTCTTGTCCAGGCAGATGGCTCTTGAAGGTGGGGGACGCTATGCGTCATACGTCCCCTATGCCCTGAACGCCCATGCCGAATCCTGGTCATACTTCTGGGCGCAGTACCACTCCGGCCCGGACCAGGTGCAGCACGCGACACAGAGCACCTGGCGACTGGGCTGCTCTCAACCAACTCGTGAAACTGCCGGAGGCATATAACAAATGAATAGAACCTGCGGAGTGGGTGGTGTTCCCCCCCAAAAGTGGTGCCCCTAATCAAAACCAACCAGGGGTTCTAATTACTTAGATCCGGGGTCAACAAATTCGCGGGCCCTGTTTCGAAGGCTGTGGAGGTTGACACTGTGAGCCCGCCAAATTGTTGCGGTGACCCCCTTTTCGTGTTCGAGATAGAACCCCCCCCCAAAAAAAACAAAAAAAAAGCACATCCGCAAAAAGCGACCCCCTTGAATCGAGGGGAAATCGATCCACGGAACCTCCAAAGTAGCTTTTTGGACATAAAATCCCGACCATGATGTCCACCAAAGCTCAAAACACGCAAAAATGCTGTTCCGTCAGCTCCGCTCAAACCAGCAAATAAGCAGAACGAACCAGAGGCTCACTTTGGGTCCAACCACTTAAGAATCACACCTATGGCCCCTATGCGTGTTCCTCAAAATGCCCGTTTTCCAATTTTGCTTGGTGTTTGGTTTTCCCACAGGAACCCTTCCCCCCCATGTTCAACAAACCTCGGCCCAATCCTCCATTTGCTTAGGCTAACGCCACCAAACAGCAGCATCCTTCTTTGGTTGAGTTTAAAGGGAAGCCCTTCCCCGAAAAAAACGGAGAAAAGGAAGCAACTTACTTGAGACTTAAGCTCCGGACTGTGTGTTTTCTTTTTCGGGGGGGGAAGGGGAAAGGAGGGAGGGTTCCCATGTTCCCATGCTCTAAGGGTGGAAGTACATACCCCTTGTTCATACCCCTTGGCTTCCGTGGTTTCCAACCCACCGTATAAGGGGTATAAACCTCTTTGGGGGAGAGGATATGGTATGAACATGCCTTTTGGGTTCACGTGTCCAAGAGCTATTTAAAAAAGGGTCGAGATTTAATTTTGGAATTTTTTTTGTTTTATTTTGGGATTTTTTTTTGTTTTCCGTCCTGGCTACTAAAATGCTGTAATTTACAGCATTTTCTCGCGAAATGTACGTATTTTTTACGCTAGTCCGCCAACATCATCAGCATCGTTTTCAACATCCCCCGCATGTCCAGCCAACATCCCCAGCATCACCAGCAAATTGGCTTCCCGCATCCCACGATAAAAGTGAGGATTCAAATACGGGCAAACTAATCCCTGTAAAACACCTAAAACGCGGCGGCAGCCCCCCGCATGATGATTGAAGAAGTGATGATTCAAAAAGCGCCAAAACAAATACATATTTATATATATATATTTAAAAAAAAACAAAAAAAAAAAAAAACAGTGGGGGGGGTCAGTTCCTCTGCGGCAAGGCCTCATGGTACAAGTGAGGATTCAAATACGGGCAAACTAATCCCTGTAAAACACCTAAAACGTAGTTAGGGCCAAAAAAATATTAAAAAAGCAGCGGGGGGGTCATCAGTTCCACTGCGGCAAGGCCTCATGGTACAAGTGAGGATTCAAATACGGGCAAACTAATCCCTGTAGATCGAAAAAGTGATGATTCAATCAGGGGCAAAAAGTCTAAAAAATAGCGGGGGGGTTGGGGGGGGGCGGCAGCCCCCCCCATGATGATCGAAAAATTAAGGGCAAAGAATCTAAAAAGGAGCGGTCGCATGATGATCGAAAAAGTGATGATTCAATTAGGGGCAAAAAGTCCAACAAATAGCGGGGGGGTTGGGGGGGGCGGCAGCCCCCCCCATGATGATTGAAGAAGTGATGATTCAAAAAGGGCCAACAAATAAAAAAAAGCAGCCGGGGGTCATCAGTTCCTCTGCGGCAAGGCCTCATGGTACAAGTGAGGATTCAAACACGGGCAAACTAATCCCTGTAAAACACCTAAAACGTAGCGGGGGGGGGGGGGCAATTCCCTCCATGATGATTGAAAAAAGTGATGATTCAATTAAAGGCGCGGGGGGGGGGGGGGGTTGGGGGGGGCGGCAGCCCCCCCATGATGATCGAAAAAGTGATGATTCAATCAGGGGCAAAAAGTCTAAAAAATTGCGGGGGGGTTGGGGGGGGCGGCAGCCCCCCCCATGATGATCGAAAAATTAGGGGCAAAGAATCTAAAAAGTAGCGGTCGCATGATGATCGAAAAAAGTGATGATTCAATTAGGGGCAAAAAGTCCAAAAAATCGCGGGGGGGTTGGGGGGGGCGGCAGCCCCCCCCATGATGATTGAAAAAGTGATGATTCAATTAGGGCCAAAAATATTTATTAAAAAAAAAGCAGCAGGGGGGTCATCAGTTCCTCTGCGGCAAGGCCTCATGGTACAAGTGAGGATTCAAATACGGGCAAACTAATCCCTGTAAAACGGAAGCCCCCCCCCCCATGATCATCGAAAAAATAGGGGCAAAGAATCTAAAAAGTAGCTGTCGCATGATGATCGAAAAAGTGATGATTCAATTAGGCGTGCATTTTAATCGAAAAGGGGGGTGGCGGGGGGCCCAGAGAGGAACTTGCGATGCTGAGGATGCAGGAAGCCAAGGCCAAAAACCAACTGGGAAAGCATCAGGATGCGAAAAGCCAAAGCCAAAAGCCAAAAAGCCAAAAAGCCAAAAAGCCAAAAAGCCAAAAAGCCAAAAAGCCAAAAAGCCAAAAAGCAAAAAGCCAAAAAGCCAAAAAGCCAAAAAGCCAAAAAGCCAAAAAGCCAAAAAGCCAAAAAGCCAAAAAGCCAAAAAGCCAAAAAGCCAAAAAGCCACCTGCCGCAGCGGAACTGGCAATGCAGAGGATGCGAAAAGAGAGGAACTGTGAATGCAGATGATGCGAAATGAAAAGCCACAAAAGCCACAAAAACCCACGTAAAAGCCACAAAAGCCGAAAAGCCACCGACCCTGAAAAACAAAAATAATTCCTAAAAAAAAACGAAAAAAATTCCTAAAAAAAATGGCCCTCCTTTAAAAAAATTGTACAAGCAGCCCCGGGCCTGCTCATTTTGGGGGTCTTCCTATCAACCTCCGCGAGTTCCGACTCCGCGCCTTGCCGCACTCCGCGATGGTGAGCAGCGCGTCCGGCACGTCGTTCAGGAAGTCCTCGGAGGCGAAGGCCTTCCAACGCATGCCGATGCCGCCCACCGCGCCCCACCTCAGCGGATGCGACGAGGGAAAAAAAACAAACAAACAAACAAAACGCGAGGCGCGGAGAAAAAGGGGAAAAACAAAAACGGGTGGTGACTGTTTTTGAGGGTGGCTCTTTGTGTTGTGACCTGTTTTGAGGGTAGCTTTCTTGTGCTGCTTTTTTGAGGATAGCTCTTTTTTGTAGCTTTGTTGAGGGTAGCTCTTTTGTTTGTGGCTTTCTTTTGCAAAAGGCTTTTTCGCAAGCAGAAAAATGTTCCCTCTCGTTGGAGGTTTGGAGGTTTGGTGGTTCGAAGGTCCAGGTTTTGTCCCTCTAAAAGAACCCTTGGTGGGGTTTGGATTCGCTTCCCCTGATTTGGATTAGTAGTTTGGGGCGTTCTTGCCATTCAGTGTCGACAGAGGGCGGTCAAAAACCACCAAGAGGTCCGCCCGAAGAAGACACCCCCAAAATGGCATAAAACCCAAAGCAAACTGTCAAACCACTACAACTCCTATCGTTGATTCGGCACGTGAGATTTCTGAATTGGTCCCTTTTCGTTTTCACCGCCCCAGAATTACCCGCAATAGGCCCGCAAGGGGCGCAAAACTCCTTGACCCAAAACCACGTAAAGAATCAAGAAGGCGGATATCCGCGGCTATTTATGGCAAGGCTTCCACACTGATTTGTACGGGGGTAACATCAACCCTATCCCAGCATTCCAAGGCGTTTCTCCAAGGGAACTTGCGGCACATAAATCCCAAAGAAAGCACTGTCCGACAGCTCCGGGCCACATCAGCGCCACTGTGTCCAGCTCCGGGCGCTCGAACCTGCGGCTGCAGCACGGTGACGGTGGGGATGCGGTGGGGCCGATGAATGGTTTTTTCAGACGGGAAAACCGAACAGGAAAACCCCTAACAGAAAACCTAAGGGAAAACCTAAGGGAGAGCCTTCGAGCTCTTTTTTTTCCGGCAAATCCTGCTTGTGTGTGTTGGAGGGAAAATGGTTGGCTCCCTTGGGGGGAGAAACCTGCCCAAGGGAAGGCCACCATTTTTTGGGGTGTTCAGGGAAGCCTTTCCTAGGGTGCTTTTCTTGCTGGCGCGATGGGCAGGCAATAAGAAACGGAATGACCCCGATTAACAATCCAACGTGCGGTTTCCTTTGCATTCCCAACACTTCCCTACTGTGCACCAGCAAGTTTTGGGGGTAAAGCTGTCCTAGAAGGGTGTTCTAGGATTTTCTCTCACTCTCTCTCCAGAGGGTGTTGACTCAAGGCAACGAAAAGGGCGCCCGCAAATATTCAGCCCCCCCCCCCCCCGTGTGTGTCTGGCTTTTTGAGTCTCGGTGCCCGTTTTGGGGTGGTGAAAAAGGGGAAGCCTACGTGAAGGAAAACGTAGTTTGGAGGTGTTCAGCTGACACCAAAGGGAAAACGCACCCTTTCAGCGGCAACCTAGGGGAAAGCCTTTTCAAGCAACACCTAAGGGCAACCCACCATTTTAGGGGCACCGCCATTTTAGCCTCCCCCCCCCCCCCTAGTTTGACGTAACCATGGAGGCCTGTATCAATTGTTTTTTTTTTGGATTTGGACTCCAATGGTTGTGGTTTCCATTCTGGAAATCCCCCTCCAAACCAAGAGGATGACATACAAACACGTGCCCGTTAGTACCATAGAGGGCCTGAACGACCAAAAGCTGTGCAATTCTTTGCGCAGCTTGCTTTACCCTTTGGGGTTTCATGTCCACCATGTAGGGCGTTCTGACCCTTACAATTCATGGCCATGTCCATTTTCCAGCCTTCCCCCCCGCAACGAAAGGCGCGGCGTTTGCGGCGTTTGCTGCTTCACTTGGTTTCAGGGAGGTGGGGCAACCTTCCCCGCAAGTGGTTGTTCAGGCCACTCCTCCCTCAATCCCACGTAGAATTCACCCACCCCCCCCGGTATGAGGTAAGATTACACCAAATGTTGCAAGCATGTTGCGCACAGCAAAAACTTGTTTGCAGCTCGTGTTGAACATGTATCATAAAAATGCCCAGCCCATTCAATGTCAAAGAAGTTGTGCTGATCTAAAGTGGTCCATGGTTTCTATTGCTTCCAGTCTTCCCAACAGTTGGAACAACAAGCTGGACGACTAAAATGGTTTGCATTGGTTTGAATTGTCATTTTTCCTGCTTGGTTGGAACAGTTAGCTGGGCTTCAGTCCTGGTTTAATTGATCTCTTTCATGAATTGACATTCAAAACAAAGATCTCCTTTCTTATGCGCGCCGCGCTCACGCGCTCGCCACAGTGCAACCTGCCCAACCACACAAACAAAACCAGCAAACTCAAACAAACACACAAACACACAAACAAACAAACAAACAAACAAACAAACAAACAAACAAACAAACAAACAAGCAAGCAAGCAAACAAACAAACAAACAAACAAACAAACAAACACGCGCACACACACCAAATTGCACGGAAGACGGGCTTGAACCGCCTGCCATTCGTTACCTTATTGGGTATATCTTTCAGTACCCTCTACAAGACCCAGGGGCCCGTTCGAATCCAAATCCCAAGCTGCAAACTCCTCCAAACCACCAACGGAGAACCACCTCACACTTGGCGCCTCGAAACAGTATGCATATATATATATAAACAAAAACAAAAACACAAAAAAAAGGCCGCCGCCCATGTCCAACGGGCATTTCTTTGTCGCTTGCCTCCGCTTTCGTCCGCTTTCATGCGCTTTTCGCTTGTTTTGCTTGGCTCGCCGAGGCGCTGGGGTATCTTGTCGAGGTAGCCGTTGGAGGCCACGTAGTTGGCCTGGCCCATGTTGGCCGACATGGTGCTGGAGGCGGTGAAGTGGACCATCTTGGTGAGCTTCATGTAGGTCTGCGTCGGCGCCTTGACCTCGGCTGGAACAATGACCACTGCGAGGCAGAAGTGCAGAAGGGGCTTTTTGGAAGGACCAACCCCCCCAAAAAAAGGCGGGAGATTGCCTGGGGGCTGGCCCCTGGTTCCCACAACCCTGCTTCACCTGGACGCAGAAAAAGGAAGAGCTCGCGGATTCCAGCTGAAGATGGCTCCCTACAACCCAAGAAACAACGGGGCACCATCACGTTTGTTGGTATTTACAGGGGGGAATCGAATCATTCCAGGGTTTCTTAGGTGGTGCGAAGTGGATTTCGTCACAGGGCGCGGAGAAGCCGATCGATGGCTTCAACAGAACCAATCACTGGGGCGCGCTCAGATCCCCTGCTAAAGATTACTTGGTTGCTGTCTGCTTCCCTGCTAAAAGTTTAACTTTTGGTTTAATGGAACACCCATTAGTTGGCAAGAAGTTAAAGTCCTAACATCCAAGCAAAATGCGACAAAGATTAACTTGTGGGTTAAATGGAATTCCCCCGACTAAACTTTAACTAAAAAGATCCAAAAAGCTAAGTTGAACCGGATGAGTCGCTGGGAGCCGCCAATCACTAGTCACTAATGTTGACCCCACATGAATCAACCCCAGTTTGTTAATAGGGGGCCTTCCCCTCCAAAAGTGATGAATCCCCACTAAACCCGGGGCAGCCTTAATAAACTGGGGTTGACTAGCTAGGTCCTCCAGTAGAGAGCTTAGAATAAGGGTACCCTTTTTTCTGCAGACTAGTTTAGTAGGTGAACCCTCCCCCAAAAAAGCAATGGTAAAAGTTGGCACCTAGCTGGGGGACGTTAAACTGGGCTTGACTTTTTAAACTGGGGTCAACATTAGACCCAATCGGGAAGCCCTCCCCCCGACCCGACCCGTCCCTTGGTTGACGTTGGGTTTGGGGAGCAAAAAAAAATGAAGAAACAAAATAGCAGGTAAGTGGCGGGATTTCAACCACTAAGCCACAATAAGCAAAAATGTAAAAAGGTTTCCCGACAACAACCATGAAATTAAGACCTGCGGAACTCCAACAACACCCATGGTCCCAACACCCCCCATGGTCCCCTCACCCCCTCGCTGGCGCCTGGGCCGGCAGCTGGCGCGGCCCCCCGGCCATGGGAATGGCCACAGTGGTCACGGAGGCGGCCTCCTCCTGGGCCGCCTTCAGCTGCTTCTCCAGCTCCTGGATCGATCCACACCCCACGGCCCCTTTTTGGTTTTTGGTTGCCCGAGCCACATCCCACGGCCCTTCCTTTTTGGTTTGGGTTTTGTTTTTGGTTGCTTCGGTTTTTCCTAAAATCTTCGGCTTTTCCTAGGGCCCGATGGGGTTTTTGGTTGCTTCGGTTTCTCGGCTTTTCCTAGGGCCGGATTGGGTTTTTGGTTGCTTCGGTTTTTCCTAAAATCTTCGGCTTTTCCTAGGGCCTTCTTGGCTGTCCAACCCGATTTTTCTTGAAGGGTTTTTCTTAGGACCTTCTTTTTGGTTGGTTGTTGGTTGCCGGGGGATCCTAGGATTTTTCCTGGGGTCTTAGGTCTTAGGTCTGTCTTCCTACCACGGCCTCTTTGTTTGTTGGTTTTTGGGCTACGGTATTCGGCTTCCTAGGGTCTAAGGCTTGGGCTTTCCAAGCCGTTTTCTTGAAGGGTCTTATGTGTCCCTAGGATCCCACAGCCTGCTTTCTGATTGGTTTTTGGTTGCCGGGGGGTGCTAGCGTCTTTTTCCTGGGGCCTTAGGTTTGCCTACAGTTTTTCTTGAAGGGTCTGAGGCTTTCCTAGAGTCTTACTTAAAGGGGCATGGTACGTCAGGTAAGTGATTAGTAAGTCAGGCTATAACCCACAAAAGCCATGATTATAAGCCCGTTCTGTGGGTTATAACCTGGCTTGCTAACCACTTACCTGACGTACCCGATCGCCCCTTCAAGTAGGGCTCCCACTGTGGATGGTTGCGAACTCCGAGAGTCTCGCACACCCAACGTCCAACTTCGGTTGAACCATCACAAATCACATATGGCCGTGGGTCAAAAATAGGTACCCGAAATGGCTCCTACAAATGGAAACATGGACTAAAACCTGCGGTCCCCTGGTGGTTTGATTTTGACCCATACCCCTATAGGTTCAAATTTTAGTTGAACCTATGCCGTCTCATGGCATGGGCCGTTTGATATGTTTGTCTCTGCCGATCCTCCTTGAGCTGCACCTCGCCGTAGATGGACTCCTGGATCATTCCAAGCTCCGCGCGCCTGGACGCATGGGCGAACTGCGCCGCCTGTGGGTCCCGACTCACCGCGGCGCGCACCACCTCGGGATCTGCGCGGAAGATGGGCAGCATGAACTTCAGCGCTTTCCCGTTCCTCTTCGCCACTGCCACGGCAAAGTCCTTGTGTCAAAAGGGCGGCTCGACTAAAATAGGAATTAAAGCCGGTTCCCTTGTTGGCTGGTTTTAAGTGGGAGCAAGGACAAAGCAACCTGCCTTAGGGGGACCCCAAGTCCTTGTCATTCAGGAGGTCCTCTGACGCATAGTGGTATGCCTCAGCATCGTGCACCGCCATCTCCAGCACAAAGTTTCGGTCTTCGCGCAAAGCCACGCTGGCTCCTTGCATCGCTGCGCCCTTACCAGCTTTTGCAGCATCCAGCAAGAAGTTCTTGTCGTTGCCTCATCTGCTCAGTAAAGACCAGGGAACACAGGACACCTTTTCCAGGAGAATCCAAGAACCAACAAACACAGGACGCCTTTTTTGTTGGCCGCTTCAGGAACCAAACCAAAAAAAAAAACGGCGGAAACCCTCCCAAACTGACTCAAAATTGCCCCTGGTGCGTTTTGCCCGAGTTGTCTAACTCATACTTAGCTGTCCAACCAACTTAGTAAGTAGGTTATATATGGTCATAAGCCAACTAACCCGGTTACCCCAGTTCTACCCATGGTTGTAACCTGCTTACCTGACGTTGGTTCAAACATCCAGGAGGGGCTCCGACAAAAAAAACGGAAAAATGCGGAGGCCGCCGAGTTGCGGAGGGCATCGGGGGCCCCGGCCAAGGCCCCACCGTGCACACTGAGAGCTTTCAAAAGGAAGTCCTTGCCATTGGTTGATGGTTGCGTTGCCCCCGTTTCGCACCACCGTTCAGAAACCAAGGTTGAAACCATAAGGTTGTTTGTGTATTTACAGTGGGTTATGACTCTCCGAATGAATGGCGGCAAGCAAAGTGAACTTCCACTTGGAAAGAAACATCAAGCATCACTACGGGAGCAAAATGGCATCAAGCTGAAGTCCCCCAACAAATGAACATAGTTCCAGTGCCGTGGATGGGTTCGCCAAAAACCGCCAGTGTCGCACCAACGAAATCAGAAATCCTGGAATGATTTAATTCCCCTGTAAATACCAACAAGTAACGGTTTCCCCGCGGATTTTGGCACTGTACAAAATAATGCTGTGGATGGACAAAATCCTGCACAACTGCAACCCTGCGTCGTTCCCAAAAAAAAAATGGATAGGATTGGTCAATCCTCCGCAGCCCCGAAAATTGGGTGCGCATCCTTCTGGATGGGAGCAATGGTGGCAACTACTGTGGTTGGACGAAATCCATTTCGCACCACGAAATGAAACAACGCACGATTGTTGGAGGGAGGGTAAACATCCTTTTAACTTACAAAAAACCTCACTGTGGTTTGCCGCCCTCTACCAAACGTGGCCAGATCCAAAACACCCAAAAAAAGCCTGATTGCTTTCTTTTTCTGTTAAGACAAGAACGGCCAACAACATCCTGTTATCACTCTGCCTTCCAACCCCAGCACACACACCCCAAAAAAAAAAAGAACAACAACCTGCCAACAACCTGCCGACAACCGTGTAGTTTCTCAAGATCCCCCACGAAAGCCTGATCGACCTGATTTTCTCAAAAAATACCCTTAAAACAAGAGGGCATTTGGAGTCGGAGGAGGTGAGTGAAAGATCCCCGCAAATCTTCACGCGCAAAACGGTTCCGCCGCCGCCGGCCGCCGAAAAAGAAGAAGAAAAAAACCGGAGAAAGAAGAAAAAAGAAAAAAAACTTCGGCTCCTTGGAGTTCCGGAGCTCCGGCGCGGCGTCCGCGAAGGCCTTGCCGAAGTATCGGACCGCGTCCAGCACCACCTGCCGCTGAGAGCGAGAGGAGCGCCCGGGCGTCGGCGTTGAGGGAGGGCATCCAAAAGAAAAGAAGCTGCCGGCATCAAAGCAACGGGGGATTTCTTGGGGTTGGGGTTTGGGAACACTTTTTGGGGGAACGTGTTTGGTTGCATTTGAGGAAATCCAGACGAACAGATTTAGACTTGTTGTTGGTTCTAAGGAAAAGCATAGTACTTGCTTGGTCTTAAGGAAAGCCATGAAACTGTTCGGGGGTGTTGCTTGGATTTGAAAAAATCGATTGGACAAAAAAAGAGACTTGAGTTGGGAACCCCTCTCGGTTGGTGTTAAGACAAAGCATAACTTGCTCGGCCTTAAGGACAACCATAAAACTGGGGGCCTCCTTTTGGCTTGTCTTGACAACTCTTCTGTTGACGAACCTTTTGGCTTGGTTTCAGGAAGCGCATCCACACTTTTTGGGGAAACTCCTTTTGGCTGGCTTTTAAACTCCCCAGGTGAGCGCCCAAAAAGCTCATGAAACCAGAACCCAGAAGAATGTTCAGATCGGCCTCACAACCGTTCCACCGGATAGAACTACCTGCAACAACTTGCCTTCTTTCTTTCTAGGAGAGTGGGGGGGTGGTGCTGATCATGTGGGTGTGGGGGGGGGCTATGAGGAAAATCATAAACAGGAACCGACCTTTCCGCCCCTATAATTATAATGTTGAGACACACTCACCTATATGGCCCCTGGTGCGACAGCAAATTGTAGAACTCCCTTGTGCCATCTACTGCCTAACTTGTGTGTGCGTGTGTGTCATTGCTCCCCTGAAGATTGGAAAAAAGGGGATCCTTACTGAAGGAGATTCCTACGTCACCCCAAACTCCTACGGCTCTTGGAGAAAAGAAGGAAAAAAACAGCACTCCGAGGCTCCTTTCCGCCTGTGGATGGCCCCCGGTCCACCAGAACTCGGCGATTCATGTCCCCACTTGAATTCAATTCGATGGCTCCGAGTCTCTAAAACTCATGCCGAAAAGATACCCGTAATGAGAACCCTAGATCGAAGTAGAACCCCTGGCTGATTCTGAGAGATGGGGGTGTCCCCCAGTTTCCAGATTTTCAAACTGTGGAAACCTGACAAAATCCGTTTCGCACCACCTGAGGAAACCTGGAATGACTCCCCTCCCGTGGTCAAAGTGGTGTTTTAACCGATTTCGTCTTAGACCTGGACCCAAAGTCGACGCCTCGGAGAAAGCCTCGCCTCCTCGTCCGCCCGTAGCTCGGCGGAGGCGTGCGGCAGAGCGGCGCCCTGGGAGGTGAGGATGGCGCTCTTCACCAGGTCCCGGTCGCCTGCGCTTCGAGGGCCGCCCGGGTGCCTAAATGGCTCGCCTGCATCCAAGGGAAGGAAAAGGAAGAAGGGTGTGGGGGGATGCCCAGGGTGGCTGGCTGGCTGGGGGGGGGGGGGAGATGCCCAAATAGGTCCTTGCTGCCTGGTGAGTGGGGGGGGGGGGACCAACTTCGGACCATTCGGGGCCCGGTAAAAAGCAACAAACGCGCGAGTCAAAACGAGGATTCGGGCCTTTGATGGGGGGTTAAGACTCCAAGAAAAATATCCCCCAAACAGAAAAAAGGGGAGCCAATTTTGTTAGCCTCTATTGGTTGGTGTCGGATTGAAATTTCCTCAAAGTAGTGTGCTCAAAATGTGGGGGTCGGCTGGTGTTCCCCTACATGGAACCAAACAAAAACGAAGTTCTGCTTGGTGTTTTCGATCCCGACTTCCCACGTGCCCAGGACTCCCACGTAATGTGTCTCCAAATGGGACATCAAGCTTTTAAATCTCCATTTGCTTAAGCCCCCTGGGAATGAACAAACATACTGTGGATGCACGAAATCCCGCCACCTAAGAAACCCTGGAAGATGAACGCCCTGTAAATGCCAAACAAACAGTGGCTTCCCATGGTTTCTTAGGTGCTGCAGGATTTCATCCATCCGCAGTAAGTCCCCTTGACAACCAACCGGGGAAGTGGAAAATATTCTGCAATCAATGGAAGGAATGGGGCAAGCCAAAGCTTTTTAGGACCTGCAAATCCCAGGGGGCGGGAGTAGTCCCACCTGTTTGGACTGCCCGAAGTGGTTCGCAAATTAGCAAACCATGCCTGCCCGTGCATTCTGCACGCTGGTCCGAAATGGAAAAACCAATGACCCAAAGGTTGCCACAAAGGCCGGCCAGAACAAGCTCACCAATCGGAGTAACTGGAAACCTGTGGAGGGATAAAAACAAAAAACAAAAAGCGGACATGGACGACATGTTGGTTTGGACGCCTGGTGCTTGTAGAGGGCAAATGGGAAGCCACCACCCCGTTTCACCACCAAACAGTGCAAACCGTCAGCTACAGGGACGCATGGAAATATGACCAACCCGGAAAACGGCCACCAGAAACCCACAGAGCACACTGGGAGAACCCGCGCGCGGGTGCACCTCCCAAGCGCCCAAAGCCGCCACTTCCCGGAACAGTCCGACACACCCAACTCAGCTTCCCCCTAACTCATACCTTGGGTCTGGTGGTTCAGTGGCTGGGCGTCCGGTTTACCCTCAAGATTTAGGGCTTCCAATCCCCAAGCCAATCCAGACCACTAAGGTTGTAGTCATCGGTTCTTAAAGCCACCTTGCGCAAATGATCGAAGTCTGCAACTGGATGGGCGGGATATCTGCCCAGGGCGTCCAATCCCCAAGCCACCAACAGTGGCTTACCCCGCGAATTTTTGCTTCCAACCCGCAAGCCAACCCCCTACCTTAAAGAGGAAAGGGGCGTGGGGAGGTCCACCAAATCCATTGATCCAGTCTTCCTCATAAACGGGAAAATGGAGCTATGAATGGAATTAATTCCCTCTCCCCCAAGTCCTTTTTTAAGGGAATGGGGTTGCGTTTTAGGGCAACCCAGGCCAACCCGCGGGTCGCAAGCGGATCGCTCGCGCCTTTGATCTGTTCCGGGGCCTTGGCCAAGAGGCGCCAGTCGTCCAGGATGGCGGCCCGCCACATGGCCTGGCGCCAGCTGTTGGGCGCCAGCGCCTCTGGGCCGTTGGTCAACCTCAGCTCGGGGCCTCCAGGAAATCTTGGCTGGAACTAGGACCCCAGCAAAAAATATATATCTTTTTTGCCTGCTTGGTGGAAAACAAAGGGACCCCAAAAAAGCAAACAAAAAAAAAGGGAGCTAATTCTGGGGAAGAAATCAGGAACTTCCGCATTGGCCAACGGAAATTCTATGGTAGGTAGTTGGCACATGTCCCTTGCTATGAAAGGTGAGTTGGACTTCGAACCATTTCTTGGTGGTCGTTGGGTTAGGGGAGCAAAAGTTTAAGTCTTAGCAGCTAAGTGGGGATTTCAACCACTAAACCACGATAAGCAAAATGAAAAATGGTTCCCAACAACAACCGTGATTTACTGGGACCTCTGGTTGATTTGATTGGGTGTCTCCTTTTTAGCGGGGATTGATGAACATGGGGAAACGCAACACTAAAAAACACCCAACACACACACACACACACAACAAGCAAAACACTGCAAAAGGACCACCAAACACCCTCAAAACAAAACAAAAAACACAGCACACATATAAAAAAAGAGCACAACAAAAACAAGCGGGGGGGGGGGGGGTGTGGGGAAAAAAAGAAGAAGAAAAAAGGAAGAAAAAAAAAAACACCCCCCGACCCCCCCCCCCCGCCCCTCAAAAAACACACACACACACACACACACAAAAAAAAAAACCCCCCCCCCCCCCCCAAACACAAAACATAAAACGACCCCCCCCCCCCCAAACAAAGAAAAAAATAAAAATAAAAAACATGCGAATTACTCCCAAAACACATCCGTCCTCCCCCCCAAAGAAAAAAGAGAACATTGGACCCAGGGCGCTGCTTCTTCATCTTCTGCTCCGCCTGGCGCACGCAGCTCCGCACCACCGAGCTGGCGGCCAGCTGCGAGAGGTCGGGGTCCGGGAGCTGCCCGGTCTGCCGCCGCAGGGCCGCGTACTCCTCGGGATCGGCCGGAGCATCTCGTTTTTTTTTTTTTTTTTTTTTTTTTTTTCCGGGGGGGGGGGGGGGTTGGGGCGGTTGGACGGATGGGTGTCGTGTGGGGTGGGTAAGGGGGGGGGAGGTTTCTTTTTTTTTGGGGGGGTGGTGGGGGGGGTACAGGGGATAGAGGGGGGGGGGGAAATACTGGCGCCAAATACTTACAAAAAATCCATGGGGGTTGGGCTCACTTCCTCAACAGCTTTCCTGGGACAAGCTGAAAAGGTGAGCAGTTTGAAAACTGCTTTTGGGGGCTGTTTGTGCTTGAAACCACAATTTGGAGGGTCATTTTGAGGACGTCACTTTGGTGACCCAGAAACAAAAGGCGAGCAACTTTTGGGCCCACTAGTCCTTTTTCAAACAAAGTCCAAAAGGGGCGTGTAAAAAGCTAGTCTCTGCATCTTAGCCGCTGAAGCGTGCATTTTAGTTTCTGAGCCGGAGTTGATAAATCGGCCTTTGTTTGGCTCCTGAATCCTGAAACAGAATGTTTAGTTCCTGAATCCTAGTTGCTCAATCTCGTTCAATTCCTCAAACCACTTGTTAGTTTCTCACGTTGTCGGAAGTAGGCCCTTTTAGCTGCTGGAGCGGGCCATGTCAGTTCTTGATGCGGGCTCGTTTAGTTCCTGAGTCGGGTTCCTTTAGTTGTCAAATCTTAGTTGCTGAATCGGGCAGGCTTAGTTCCTGAATCGTAGTTTCTGACGCGGACCCTTTGAGTTACCTGTAGTTGCTGAATCGCGATTAGTTTCTGAATCGTCTGTTTAATTCCTGAATCCTACTTGCTGAATCGGACTTGATTCAGTGAAACAATGACCCCAGTACAACCACCTGTGCTCTGCTTGTTTGACGTCCTGCAAAAACTATGCCAACTCTTTGCTTTTCTGCTACCCCAACACTTGGCAACTGATCTTGAAGCTATGTTGACGGTGCTTTGGTCTGCGAACTTTCCAAGAGATTTAAGGCTGCACAACTCAGAACAGAGCTGGAAGGATTCGAGCCTCCAACCTCCATCCCACACTTGGGATGGTGCGCTGCGCCACAGCTCCGGCTGGAAATCTTCGCTTTTCACTGACATTATGAACGCCAGGGCTTGGATGTCTCCCGCAAGTCCACTTTAAGGGCATGGGGCTGTGTTTCGTCACAACGACCAAACCAAAAACACTCCATTTTGGAGGCCGCCGGCATTCCCGTTAATTTGGACCTCCCCTTCCCCCCAGCGGGTGATTTTAAGGGCAGGGTCCACATTGGGACCAGCAAGCACCAGCAAACAACATGGTGCACTTGCAGGTGGCGTTGGCATGAAAAAGCTGCGGCCTTTTAATTCAACGCTGTCAAGATTTCAACATTTTGCCTCCCCCCACCCCAACAGTTTAAAACCCCCAAGATTGGAACATTTTGCCCCCCCCCCCCCAAACGGTGGTATTCCTTTAATAACCCCCTTCAACCCTGTCAAGATTGGAACATTTTTGCCCCACTCCCCCCCACCCCCACCCCCAACGGCTTAATAACCTCCCCAGGAAGGTGCTGGCTTTCGTTGACGTTGGAAGGGGAGCTAAAAGCTAAATTTTCGCAGTTCAGTGGATTTGGACTTCAACCACTAAACCACACTACACCACACATTTTGCAAGAAGGTAAAATGTTTCCCAACAGCCATGAAAGGTGCTGGCTCTTCCCTTTCCGCTCTGCGAGCCACCCGGCCCCCGCTCCTTCCGCAGCTCCCCCTCCTCGGCGGCCGGGAAGTCCCCCGCCATGCCGAACTCCTCGCGGCGAGGAAGGCGCGGCGAGAGGCGCGGAGATGCTTTCCCGGCGGTTGTCTCCGGGGCGCCGGAACGAGAAAACCCGGGAAGACCGGAAAAGCGAGAAAAGCAGGTAAAAAAGGAACCAGGAGAAAGAAGAAACAAACAGACGGGTTCCAAGGATCTACAAAAAGAACCAAGAAAAAACATGATCCACCAGACAAATCCCACAAATCCATTTGCTTTTCTTTTTGCTTGGCGCGTGGAAAAAAGGCAAGGTGAAAAATGCCTGGCTCAGGAGACACGTTCCACGCAGTTGGATCCGTCGGAAACCTCAGCACAAACTTCCCAAGGGGCCCGTGGAGGTTCAACAAGGCAAGTCAGCCTGGCCACCACCTCCACAGAATGACAAAACTGTTCGCAAGGCAATTGCCACCCTGCAAGCCCCAAAAACAAAAAGCTGAAATTTGGGGTGGGAAACAAAAAACCAAATGAGCTCCGGTGATATCCCCAACAGCGGCTCGTACTACCCCGCAGCCCTTGCAGAACCTCATGGAACCCTGGAACGCTGGTGGAACCCTCGTGGAACCTTACCTCAGGGCCGCCCCGGACCACCCCGGAGCCTATCTGGGCTAAGACCCCAAAGCTTTCAGCTGTTGGGCGCCCAACCACACGTCACGCCTTTCCACAGGCAACCGACTGAAAAACCGACGCCGTCCGCCGTCCGCCGTCCGCCGTCTCCTTGCGTAGCTTTTCGGCGCTCTTGTTGCTGGTCAGCAACGCCGCCTTGGCACTGAGCAAGAGCCAGAGCGAGGGGATGTCCAGATAGGAGGCCGCCACGGTCAGCTCGAAGAGGGACTCCTGAAAAAAGAAGAAGAAAAAAAAAAAAGAAAAAAAAAGAAGGAGACAAAGAAACGGGGCCGATGTCCAGAAAAATAAATAGGGGGGGGTCGTCTTTTCTTGGAGTTGGTACGACCCTTGCCCTGGATTTGCGAAAGGAAGCAAAAAAGGAAAACCGCCGATGGGTGTCTTTTGTCGTGGCCTTTTTTGGGAGGGGCCCTAAAAGAAACACCTCGGAGCACACGCGCCCCACACCGAAACAACCCAAGGGCCTGGGATCTGACTCCAAACTGACATGAAGGACCCTTCGTGCAAATAGAGCTCGTTTGTCCCAATAAAGAAAAAAGGCGCCTGTTTGTCCCAAATAGAGCTTGTTTGTTTTCAAATAGGGCTTGTTTGACCTCATGGTTGCCACAAAGAAAAAACCCTCTGCGGGGTGTGAATCGCTCGACTCTGGGAAACTCGACCCCCGAGTTCTGACATGGCATCTACCGTTTGGGAGGGGAAATGGAACACGGAATCCCAGGGATCGTTTCTCCGAGCCAACCAATTTGTAGAGGAGACTCCTTTTCCCTTTCGGGTTCCGCAGTGTGATTCTTGAGAACATTCTGGAGGGCACGAAACTTCATCGCGTGCAGCTGGATATACTTTCTATGGTCTATGACTGTTTCAGCATGGATCGCGCGCTGTTTGGCTCTCATGCTCTTCAACTCACGTCTCTAAACATCTCCGGAGCAACGTCCAGCAACGTCCAGCAACGTCCAGGTTCACTTTCCAAACGGCCATTCAAAGGGTTTGGCGGGTTTGGTTACAGGACAATGTGCAGGACATGGCCCCAGAACACCACGAATAAGCGGTTTTTTCCTGTAGAGTTTCCTGTGACCCAACCCTTTCAGGCTGCCGATCTCTGCCTTGTCCACGTTCACGAAGCTGGAGTCCCACCTGTGCAAGTCGAATCCCGTTGAAATCCGCCGGTGGGATTTCGAGGAGAAAGATCAACCTGAACCCTCACACTAGCCGTAAAAAAGCAAAAGAATTGCCAAATCCCTTAAGACAAAAACATGTTGCAACTGCAACAACCAAATTTGAGCTGGATCTTTTACCATTTTGAGGGCCCCAATGTAGACAACCTGTTTCGCCTTAGCCTTAGCTTCGGGCTCGGTAACTATTCCCGAGCCTTAGAGCCGAGCCCAGATCTTGAGCCACAACTAGATCCTCCAGGAGACTTGGCTGGAATTACCCCAGCAAAAATCATCTTTTTTGCCTGGTTAGTGGAAAACAAAGTGAACCCCCAAAAATGCAAAACAGCAAAAAGGGGAGCTCATTCTGGGGAAGTAGAGAGGTTAGAATAAGTTGGCACCAACTTTTTTGCTGTAGTCTATTTTAGTAGGGGAACCGAATCTCCCAACCAACAAAGGGGTCAAAGGAAAGGGCCCCAATTGCTGGGGGACCTAGACAAACTGCAAGGCAACACCCAGACCGTGGAGTGGGAGTAGTTGAGTCCTGTGGGACCTTTGGCTGCTTTCCTTTTGCATCTCCTTCGAAAATCCACTCAGCGACGCCTAAGAAACCTGGAATGACATGACTCCCCCATATATGTACCGCCAAAATGCACCTTGGCCCACGGGTGTGCTGCCTCTTTTCCCCCTTATACATCACCAAAGGACGCCTCTACCCAAGTACTTGGGTGTTCGATTCGCCAAGTGAGAAGGATAACCGTTCCATCATAACCCACTTATCAGCCCCCTAAGTGGAGTTAACCTTGTTAGTGGGGCGGCCCGCCTTTCCACATGCTAACTTGGCAAAACGAAGATCCAAGTAGGGGACTTAACTCTGGATACTCAACTCGGGCCGGTCAACCCCGACCACCTACCCCACCCCTAAACATCCCCGGTCCGCCTGGTGGCGCCGCAGTCCTGCAAACTGTCGCCCATCAAGGGCGTGCGGATCTCACTGCAGGGGGCCTCCTCGTGATGCTTCATGTACTCCGAGACCTTCAGCAAGGTCATCTTGCTCATCCTCAGCACAAAAGACTACCTCCAGATTTGAGAGGATAGAATAAGAGAATGGGGAGGGTACAGCTACTCGTCATCAACACTAGCCAGGTCCTCCAGTAGGGAGGATAGAATAAGGGTACCAACTTTTTTCCTGTAGTCTGTTTTAATTTAGTAGGGGAACCCCTCAGCCCAAAAAAGGGTGAGAAAGGGCAACTGGGGGACCTAGAAGAGTTCACGGGGTTCCAGTAGAAGGATTTCACGGGGTTCAGGGAATTTCTTTTTGGTATCAACTGACTTGGGAACTGGCCCAAACGTATCCTTTCACGGACTCTGCGCAAGCAAGCGGGCCCCTTCGTTTTGCTAGGGGTTGTTTGTTTCAGAGGCATCAGCCAAAAGCATCAGCCTTTGTTTGCCGGGGTGGATGGGTTGCTTTGGGAAAACCAAGTGGAGCTCATCTTGCCTATCCTCTGCAAACCCCTTTGTTGAGCGCGCGGGAGGGGTGTATGTTGAGCAATCCCAGCCAGAAGCCAAATCGTTTTGTTTTTTGCTCATCCTCTCTCCTGCCTTCTTTTGCCCCGCTGTTTGCCTGGACAAACTTACCGCAATCGGGCTCGTGGAGAACAAACCTGCCCTTGCCCGTGCCAAGTGGTGGAGGTATATGCTTTAAAAGGGGACACCAAACGGAGGTCATCTTCATCCTTCAGGTTGCGAATTTGTTGAGAAAAAGGCTTCCCTGAAAAGAACAAGTACACCCACATGAGGTTTAAGTGGAAGTTGGCCCTTTGATGGACACCATGAACTATTTGCATTCAAGTTCACAAACAGCAGCCTGACTGAAGGTCCTTCCGTTTGGCAATTGCCCGTCATCGGCCAGACATTTCTCACTGGCTTAAAATGGCCCAAAAACAACCATGGCAACTTGCTCCATAAAGTGGTGAAAGTCGATCCTTTTCTTGGGTGGTTTCTTTCCCTAAAGGTCATCCGATGAAAAGGACCTTTTGATCACCCCCAAAATGAAGCACCCTTTCCTCCGGGCGATTGGTTCCCGTTGACTTTTGGCCTAAGAACCGGTTGGTTCTCCGGGATTGATTCCAGCTCTTCTCTTGATCTTTCAGATGCGTCCCTTTGCAAGTGCCAGCAGGGCCCAAAGTCGTTCTCACAATGTAATTACCCGCATGGCCCGTCATTTTTTTGCTATGGCACTTCGCTTGGAAGGACTCCCCACCCACATGATTGAAACCACACCCAAAGGTGGCTTAAAACGGGGAAGCTCAACTTCACCCCGGCCAGTTCTCCCGTTTCTTCTCCCCTTCTGGGCCCAAGGGGCGGCAGGTCCAGCGGTGTGTCGCAGCCTTGTGCCATCAGCTGGGCTCGGAGCCGGTTGGACAAGGCCGCCGCCACCGCGGGCAGCTGGACGTCACCCTCCTTCCGCGACGTGCCGATGTGAGAGGTCTGCCCCAATTGGGCGCATGTATACCTGTGTGTGTGTGTACAGCAGGGAATGAGGGAATGACCCCTATAAACAATCCCGTATGGGTTCATTTACGGGAATCCCCAAACGGTTCATTCCCGAATCCTTGGGTCATTCCAAACTGAGCACGCGGCATGGCTCCCGTCACAATGCACCCAAAAAATCCCTCACCAAAAAGGTGCCACCTCACTTTCGCGTGCGAAGGGCGTGCGAAGTGAGTCTGAGGTATGGGACCAACTGCGAAAGAGGGAGAGGGCGAAGACAAGAATCTGCGCCGGCAGTCCTCGCATTTCAAAGTCACCTCACTGGCCACAAGTAGCGCCAGTGGCGCGCAGACGACACGGCAAGAAACAAAGTTCTAGGGGTACCTTCCATCTCCATTCATTCCAGGGATCCGGATCTTTCCAGAAAACCTCCGGACATCAGGGAAAACAGCTCCGGTTTTTGGAAAGAACGATGGTCGAAAAGAATGGGAGGAATCAAGCCCTAGTGCGGCCAAGCAACGGTCTTGCCAGCGAGTTCTTCGGGGCACTCGCTCGAAGGGCCCCATTTGAAGCTGCCCCAAACCTCATAGTTCTCCTCAGCGCGTAAAAGCGTGCCACTTGTTTGTTGGATGAGGGGTCACTGGACTTCCCTAAATCAAAAGTTGATCGATTTACTTGGAGGTTCCAAAAAGGACAATGGAGGACACCATACCCTGATTGTGTCTGTCAGGGGACCCCCAACATGGTGGGGTGTCCTTTTGGCTTCATGAAGAACCCAACTCCAAAACAGTTACCCTTCAAAAAATGGCATACCCAAATGGCCCAGCCATGTAAAGAACCAGCCAAGATATCCGCTATGGATATCTGAGACAGACCCGAGTCGTTTGCTGGTGGCTGTCAGCCAAAAGGGGTTGGGGGATTCCCGCCTTCCTTCGCCGAGCCTCTCCTGACATGGCGTGCGTGCCAAGCTTGGCCCAGCCCGCTGGAGCCGAAAAGCAAGACACACCCGGGGCCCAGGGGTCGGGCGCAACACCTGGTTGCAACATCCAACAAGAAGTAGTTGGGCCTTTCTTGGGGGACCGAAATGGTGGTTTGGCGTCCTCTTGGTTTCCTTGAAACCACATACAGGGGTTGTACCCTTCAAAAAGAAGAGAATGTTTAGCCTCCTCATTTGGTCTTCTTTGGAAAGGGAACAATTGTCGATGTTTCAGCGTTGCCCATCGGCCATAAGAACAACTCGGGGTTCACTATGGCAACGAAGCCATGGAACCTAGATGTCTGGACGGCCCTGGCTTGCCCCAATCCCAATAGGGCCACAGTGGCAAAAAGCGACCCAGCCATCCAGTCACTGGACCCCCAGTAGCAAGGGGGTCTTCCACTGCACGGCCCTCGAGGACTGTTTTTCATGCGATTTTTGGGAATTTCCCCAGCGGTCCAGCGGGAGCTGTCCGGCCATGGTTCTTCCATTTGTGGGGCCAACCTCTCCGACAGGTCACTTGGTCACTTGGTGCACCAGCTTCCTCTGATTCTCTGGTTCAAAGGTCATTTCCAGGCATGGGTTTTGGAGGTCATGAAGTAAGATCAGCCCAAGCTCGAAAGGCAGTACCTGAGATACCCTGAAAAAATCTGTCCAACCCATGGTATGGTAGCAAAACACTTAAAGTTTCTTGCAGCCCCCGGAGGAGGGAAAAAAAGGAAAAAACTGAAAGAGCATTCCAACAGTGAAGATCACCTTTCCCAACATCCCCGCCTGTGTCCCACCAAAACACAAACAAATCCACAGGCGAAACACTTAATCCAAGAGTGGAGATAACCTCCAACCAAAAAAAAAGTCCAAGAGTGGAGATAACCTTACCCCCACCCCCCCCCCCAACAAAACAAAAGAAAAACTGAGAAGGCCTCGAGTGTCCTGAGGTCAGCACCCTGTGACCCAACCCTTGCAGTTGTCCGGGATGTGCATCTCCGTGCAGTCCTACGCCATGAGTCCAAGCCGTTGACTCTCATCTACTGTGGATGGACGAAATCCTCCTCTCGCACCACCTAAGAAAACATGGTTGCAACCATTGTTCGTTGGCATTTACCGGGGACCCACAAAATTTCAAGGTGTTTTTGTTTTCTCCTCGATGGTGCGACATGCATTTTGGACCTGGAGTTTTTTTGCCTGTTCGAACTCAGGTTGGGATGTTCGTACACGAATTGTTGTCGATGGCATCCTCCCAAGTCCTGCCGTGCGATCCGTCCAAGCACCAAAAAAAACAAAACACCACATAAGCGGCTGACCAAGCAAGGGCTTCCTTTCTTCAGCCCTTTGAACTGCCCCTTCGGCAAAAAGCGGCCCCTCTACCTGGTCCCTCTTCCAGTTCACTCTGCTGAAACCGGGTGCTCTACTTGTCTTGTCTTGGGTTTGGTCCTCGCCTCTACCCCATGGACCCCATGCCCTCACAGAACTCCTAGCTCCTTGAAGGGAACCGCTCCCTTTGTGGCGAACATCCCGGGTCCCGGCTCCCGAGTCCGGCGCCCTTCCAAGCCACCCCTGAGCCATCGGCATCGCGGTCGGTGACGTCTTTCACCGTCACGCTGCCACGTCCTCATTTTTGGTCCCAAGCCAAGAGAGCCCAGAGATCCACTTGGCGTCTTGAAACGACTTGTGTCCGATTTAGGGGGGGCCAACTCACTTTATGGAAACAACTCACTCACTTGAAACTACTTCATTCAGGGGGACCAACTCACTTTAATAAACGTCAACTGAGGAAACCGCGGTGGAAAGCAACAAAGTTGCTCAATGAATGACTGGAACCACATGGAGACCACCAAAAAAAACACCCGGGCATGGGATCGAGGCCGCCACGCTGGGCGAGTAGCCAGTCGATGAATTGCTTCACACGCCTTCGCTCCTGTCCAGGCAGAAGTCCAACATTTGCGTTACTCGCCCCCCGGAAAAAATGAAGAATATGTCCAGCAGTGATCGATTCCGTTTAAAACCAACAACCAACAGGGGAACAAAAAGAACATTCGTGAGCACATGTAGTTTGGCGCAGGCTTGACGCGGCTGAGCAGAATTCTAAACATGCTGTGAAACAGAAAACTGAAATTCCGCAAACTCTGCAAGAACTCGCTGTGAAACAGAAAACTGGATTTGGAGTAACTGCTTCCAGAAAACTTGGTTGAGGAAAACTGAAACAAGGCAAACCTGGAAGGAACTGCTTCTTGATCGCGTTTGTGGATTTGTGGACATAAGGTTCAAAGGGGCGTTTCAAACGGAAACGACCCCACTTTGGTGGCCTCCCCATTTCACTCATAGACAGCAACTTCCGTGCCGCTTCCGAAGCGGTGGATAACCCCATGCTTCAATCCGAGCAGGATGGACGCGACATCCGGAAACCGCACCACCGCACAGAATCCCAACCTAAAAATTCCTCAACCTAAAAAAATCAGAATGATTCGATTCCCTTTTTAGAGTCGCAGGAATCCCCGAATTCCCCACCGCAAAAAACAAACCAACGTGCTGGTGTCCTTTCCCTGGAAATACCGACAAACGTTACGGGTGTCCTATGCATGGTAACTCATCAAACGCGGACTTCGCAACTCGCGGATTTTGCGACACCATCCACTGCATCACGAGACGGAGAGAGAGCGAGCGATGCGCCTTGTAGGTTCCAGCCATGAAGCAGACATGCCCCACATACTCCAAGATCACCTGCGCCATGCTTCGGTTTGGCGAAATCCGAATCGGCGGGTTGGGGGTGAAACTGGTGGGGGGTTCCAGTTTTAGCCTCCAAAAGAAGCAGGCACCCGTTCAAATCCCAATCCAAACCACCAACTACTTGCCCCCAACTGCTTGCTTCTCAGAGTGGGGAATGAGTTGGAATGACCCCAAGAACCACCATCCCCTATGTTTTCCTTGAAGCCGGTTCATTCCCGCCCAGGCATTCCCCGTTGGACCTTCCCTACGTCTCGCTTTTGCACCCGATCGCAAGGCGAGGGGACTCCCCCCCGCTCTCGGCTCTGGCTGGGGTTCGCAAGGGTTCCGGAGCTTCGCCAGCTTTCACCGGCAGACTGGCATTCCGACGCTAAAAACCTTTCGCCAAAACGCCGCGGAACGCCGCGGAAAAATCTCTCTCTTTTTGCAGCTGGAGCTGCTTTCGGTGGAGGCCGAGGCTCTCTTTTTGCTGCAAAAAGAACCATTCGAACCCCGGAAAAATGCGCACGCTGTGTGGCCGAAAATTTTATTTTTACTTGCCACGTGGAAGGCATCCACCGTACCTGGGCACATGGGAAAAGCATTAAGACAAGATGCGAGAAGCCGCCTTTCCGATCCCGGGGCGATTTGTTCAACAGATTGGCCCCCTTTTCAGCCACCAGGGGTCACCAGGAGTTTGCAGAAGGCCGAGAGGAAGAAAAAGAAACGAAAAAAACACATGGACAACCCCAAGCATTCACACCAAGCATTCTCGCATGCATGCGTGAAATATCCGATGTTTTGGAACATCCAAAGAAACCGGTTCTGTTTGGTCAACCCACCCCACCGCCCCCGTTGAAAGCGGTTTAGGCTGCCCCCACGTGAGCTGCCAGCGCCAACTTCTTCCGTGTGGAGCCTGAGAAAAGAGATCAAACGATGTGCCGATGGTGCAACCTGAGGAAGAATTCTTGGGGCGTAACGTCCTGTAATATTACCCAACTCCGGGAAAAAACTTGTATTACGGGCATTATTGCAGGAGTGTCGCGGGGGTGTCTCTTTTTTGGAGTTGCTGCCCTTTTTGCACCATGTGTTTTTTGCTTGTTCTGAGGGAACCCAAAAGGGTCACAGCACCAAGAGGGGTCCAAGGCTTCCTTTTGGAGGCAAGCTAAGAAACCTATACTCCCAGCACCCCTCACCTTAGGGCTTCTACACTTTTAGGGGGCTAACCTCGGACCAATCCGGACGCTACTTTTCAATGGGGTGGGAACCCCTTTTAGTAAGGAAATGATGTATCTTGAGGGCTCCTCTTAGTAGTAGGGTCCTCCAGCTCATCCACGGTTTTGTCCAAAAATCCCAAGGGTTTGTTGGCCGAACATGGCTGCATCTTCCCCGAAGTCAAGCGCACAAGTCAAAGGCCCACGTTCCCAGCTTTCTTGGCTTTACACCCAGCGCCCGGCTAAAAACCGCGCTGTCAAGCTGGTCATTTGGCTGGTTACGTGCCCTTTTCGTTTGGGGTTCAGATCACTTTTGGAGGGAAGACCCCCTAATAAGACGGGTTGATTAATCTGGGGTCAACTAACCTGAACCCTCAAGCTACCCATTAAAAAAAAAAAAAGCAAGTCACCAACCATATGTTTGAGGCAAGAACCCATGGTTAAGTTGGGATTTTGAGGGTCCAGCTTGTTTGGTCTCGTTGGCTTCCAGTTCAAACGCAGGCAAAAGGAGTGCCAACTCCAACAATAGGTCCATGGTTCGCCCGTCGCAGGCTTTGCTAAAAACCTCAGGAACCGGACTGTTGGGAACAGCCAAGTAATGTTGACCCCATATTCATCAACCCCCCGTTCTTTTTCATAAGGGGTCCCGTGTGTCGCTGACTTTAGTGGCTGGAATCATCACTTGAGGGAGATTGCCTCCACCTTCATATGAATAAACTGGTTTGAGGGGGACACCCCCATACAAATAAACTGGTTGGTTGACAAAAATGGGGTCACCATTCATTCAAAAAAGACGAGCTTGAAAACCCCCGGAACCAACCTTCTTCCAAGGCTAGTCTGGGGCCCCACGCCTTCCTTGCCTGCGAGGCGGTTTGAGCGGTTTTCGCCCGGCAACAAGCCCGCCGACTTTTCGCTCCGAGCGGTTCTGCCCCATGGGTTCATGTTGATCCTTGGTGAAGAACCCCCTCAGTTATCAATCCAAAGGATTTATTTTCCTGGAAGAAAAGTCTTGCCACTCAAAAGGAACCCCTCTGAATGAGAAGTGGGGTGGCCAAAAAAAACAGCATGCTGGCATACCATAGGCTCTATAGACTCTAATCATAAAGCCGGGTAGAATTTACGGGAGCGGCCCTAAGGGCGAATTTCTCCGGTCTCGGAAAGGTGAGGTGCTGAGGTGATGAATTGCAACCCCCATGAGTCCCACAATAAGTTTCCCCTAGAAAGAATGTGTTTTTTTCCCTGGAAGAAAGGCTTTGCCACTCAATAGGAAGCCTTCTGAATGATGAGTTGGGTGAATTGTTAATCAGGGAGGTGCGGCGTTGCATGGGTCCCACCAGTTGCCCCAAGCTTCAGATGCCCGAGTTTTCTCTCGGCTCGAATTTGGTGGCCTAGCGCATAGCTCAGCTCGTCGTCTCTGAAGATCATGCGGTCGGTGCCGAATCCCTCGCGGCGCGTCTCCCCAAAAAAACCGGCAACTCCCACCGGCAATCCCAAAGCCCCAAAGCCGGGATCCAAAGGAGTGGGAACCTCGAGGCCGTGGCTTCTGCTCAAACTGGTGCACTTCTGCTCAAACTGATTCCCTGGTGCCTGACATCCTCGCAATGAGAACTGTGAAACTGCAGAAAGTCAGGAGTCAGGAGTCAAGCCAAAAGCCGTCACTATCCGTCACTCCCGAAATCCCGATCGAACGGGCGAAGCCTGCATGTCCTGCCTACTCTCACCTCACCAGACTACCAAAACTACAAAACACTCCAAATCGTCCAACCTGCTGTAAATGGACATCCTGCACCACTCCTAAGAAACCTTGGAACGATGATTCCCTGGAAATAACTACCAACGAACGTTATGGTTTTGGTTGCCTTTGACCAATCCAAATCCAAGTTCCATGCGCGAGTGCCCAGGAAACCTGTAATTTGCCCTTCAGTTGTCATTGACTGCCGGGTTCCGGTGAATCGATTGATCCACTGGCCCCCCCAAAAAAAAAAAAACGAAAAACTGGTTCGGCCCCAAGAAATGGCAACCAGGTGAAACTGAGGGATCCCTATGTCGGTCGCCCTGCGTCCAAAAACCGGATCAGTTTGTCTCAAAGGGTAACCCCCCCCCCCAATTCGAAGGGGCGGGGGTCCTTCAACATGCTTCCTGCCATCCAGCTCCCACAAGAGTACCCTGTCAGATTTCAGCTGGCATTTCAGCTTGCCTGTTGTGACCTTACTTTCCATGACAGTGCAAGGTACCCTCAAGCGAAAAACCACCCGAAAAAACGTCCCGCGCCTTGTCGTCGCTGAACTTCTCACGGATGCCGCGGGTGAAGGTGCCCGGGGATTTGGTCTCCACAGCACTCATGACCTGCCCGAAACGGGCCCAGCTTTGGACAAAAATAGATGGGTTTCCCTGGTAAATGGGGCATAATAACAAACTCAAAAAGTGGAACCCATCTAGAAACCAAACTAACGGATCAAAAGGAACCTGCGGTCGTTGGACGAAACCCTGCAACGCAACAAAAAAGAAAGAAAGAAGCGGATGTTTGAGGGCTCGGCTCCCCTATTTTGAGAAGCACCCTTGCCCACACACACACACACAGCAAGCCTCTGGACAGAAGCACCTCTCTCCGTTCCACGGAGTTTGCTCTGACACACGTGCAGTGCTTTCCTGTGACCGCTCCCCGAATTGGTGGCTTGGAGCTAGGTCTATCAAAACCGCAATTTGGACCTTGCAACCAGTTGGGGTTCCCTTCGGCTTCCCTTCCAGGCAACCCCATGCCGTGCGAGTCAGCCACTCAACTGGGCTGTCCATTCTCTGATCCCCTGCTAAAAGTTTAACTTGCGGGTTAAAATATGGAAACCGAACCGCCAAACCAACTAAAAGCCTATGAATACCCACCAAGCCAACTAACAACCCAATAAAATCTCAAGGAACCGGACGGCCAAAATCTCCACCCGCCACCTGTGGCCCTTCTGGCCGGTCCAAAGCTCCGAGTCCCACCGCGCCTTGAGCTCTGCGCCTCTGCGTGCCCGCTGGCTCCCGAAAATCGCCAGCTGCTCGGAGCCCCCGCGGCCTGCGGCAGCGGCGGACCCCACCCCCCGGCCCCGGCCCCGGCCCCGGAAGTGACGCAGAAGCTTCCTGGCAGATTTGGAGAGATGGGGGGGTTCTTCCTGAAGAAGTGGGGGGTTTTCGGAAGGTCACACTGCACCCCGCCCCTGTAACCACGATAGTTCGTGGTTGGATGTCCCGTTTGAACCACTGCGAGTAGTGGTTTGGGGGTAGTGGGAACTACTGTGGATGCGAAATCCGCGAGCCTTGCACCACCGAAATCAGAAACCCAACGGAATGAGATGGCTTCCGTGTAAATGCCAACAAACGTTGTTTCGACCTTGGTTTCTTAGGTGGTGCGAGGTGACTTTCGTCCATCTACAGTTGGCGAAAAACAAATCCGCTTTGTTGGCACTTTTTTAGAAGGGAACCTGCCTATCGATAGGCCTGTTTAATTTCGCTCCGGGTCAAACCTCCTTGCTTGAGGGCTTTGTGAAGCTTTTTGGCCGCCAAAAAGCTCGAGGTGTCCAGCCAACCCCCCCCGCCCCCTCGGCGAGTGGTTTCTTTCTGGCTTTGGGGGATGCGCTCAGGTCCTCTTTCACTGGGGAGAGCTCGGAGCGTTGACTCCAGACGTCTGCCGGAGCTATGGACAAAAAAAAGTCCGAGCTAGTGGGGTACTGGAGGGAACATCCCCCCTAGGACGGGTTTCTTCCTCCGGGGTCAACAAATTCCGATCAATCCTCCTCCAGCTCCATGATCTCGTCATCGAAGATCTCCCAGGCATCCTCGGCCAGGTGCCTCCGGTAGGGCAAGCAAGACAAGACCAGCGCCAGCAAACTGCTCCCCACGGTGACTCCCAAGGCCAAAGGGTTTGTGCGTGGCAGACGCTCTTCCAGCCCGGCATCAGCAACCAAAACCAGGCACAGCACCAACCTAAGGCTGTCTCCCCAGATCCGCGTGTCACGCATGTAGAGCTCGTAGAAGGCGAAGGCCTGCCTCTGAATCGGGAATTGACAAGCCTCCGGTATGATAAGGCATACACCTGCCACTTGCAAGAGGAGCCGAAGCAGCCAATAAGTGTGAAAGGCCACGAAGACGAAAACTGCAGGGATCAGAGCAAGAGGCACCCAAAGCCAAACCACTCCGCAGCACCACACAATCAAGCAAAGCGGAGGTACGACAAACGACCCTGGACCCACAAACTTCCTGCGAAAGCAGTAGCAGTGGCTCCGCCATGTCCAAACAAACCCGGGGAGCCACAATGTCGCTGCAAAAAGCGCAGCTTCCAAGTAGAACTGCCAGAGCATTGCCAGCACAAGCGCCGAAATGCCTGATGCGATGCTGAGGCAATCAATGAGCCAGTGGCCAATCAGAGCAAAGCTCATCCTTCCGAGCCCCTGCAGGCCTGCAGCGTTGCATGGCTTCGCCGGCGACTCCGCTAAGCCCGCGAAGCGCTCGCCCCGCTGCACCCGGGTCACGAGCCGCATCGTGCTGAAGTGCAGCAGCAGCTCGCGGAACGCCGCGGGCAGCACCTGAGTCACAATCAGAACCTGGTAGAAAAATGGTGAACCCAGAGCCGTGTAACGAACTAGAAAGGCGGGCCGCAACTATTTCCGGCTGGGACTGGCCCTTCCTAACCTTCATCTACCCGGGGTTTGATTGTGGCTCACCTTGCCCTCCGCGAAGTCCAAGACCGCCTTGCCGCGCTCCGCGTCCGCGTCGATCACGTCGATCGCCTTCTCGTAGTCGAAGTGGGGCTCCCCGCGTACGCGCAGCGTGTGGAGGACCCGCACGTCCTCGTCGAGCCGCTCCCAGGCGCCCCCCGGCTCAAAGGCCACCTCCAGGAGCCGCTGCTCTGCCCGGCGCACGGAGACGATGCGCCCGGGGCGGGTCACCGCGCGGCTGGGATCCACCGGGGCCACCAGCAGCTGTAGCTCCGACAGCTCCTGCAGAGCCCTGGTGGGCTCCATGCCCGCCCCCGCCGGCTCCCGCCCGCCCTGCAGCAGCTGCAGCTGCAGCCGGTAGGGCGCCACCTTTAGCTGACCGCTGAGCTCCAGGATGAGGTCCCCCACCGTCTCGAGAGCCGCGGGTGTCTTCTCCAGCAGCAGCTCACCGCCCAGGGAGTAGACACGAAGAGGCTCAGCCGGAACACCCAAGATGAAGGGCGACGTCGCTTGAGCCATGGCCGGCCTTAGCCCAGAAACGGACACCGCGCCGGGACGAGTTGGGGGGGTCCTCGTTTTGCCCCATGCACAAAATTATACAAGAAACTCTGTTATATTTAAGGGAAAAAAAACGTGGAACATGTTGCACTTGTTGCCGCCCTAAGGCTTTGAAACCCGAGGCAAACCAGCCGTTGGGGTGTTTTCGCATTTCATGTTTGAAAAACCTGTTTCGCTAGGTCGCGGCTGGATCTGCTTTTTGGGCCAGCGGAAAAGCGCGCGCCCGGAGGCGGACCGAAAGCTGGCCCCGTCATGAACCAACGTCGGAATGGCAAATCTGAGCAGACGGGAAACGGCGAGTGGTGGCATACGGCTGTGGGTCAAAAAATGGGTACCCAAAATGGAACCCTGGTCCAAGGAAAACAAAGACTAAAACCGCGTACTAGTCCCGCCATACAAACCAGGAACGTCGAAGCATGTGGCAAAGCAGTGGTGCTTGTTTAAATCTACAACATGCACCCCGTGGAGCCCCAACTGAAACCCTCCAATTTTTCACCTCCTGTTGCTGAAACGGGACTGTCAGGCCCCCTTTTGTCCACACAATCCTAATGGGAGTCCGGCTTGATTGGTCTTCTGGTGGTTTAACTTCTACCCATGGCGATTCACAGACCAGTCGACCATCCCTGCGTACACGACAAGAGTCCGCTGGCCTCTGCCCTTGGTGCTCTGCCCATCCTGCGATGTTCGGCACGTAAATGTCCACCCCCCCTTCCTCCCCCCCCTCCCCCAAAGCGGGGGAACCCCCAAACGCGAGCACACGCAACACAAAGAGCCATGCTTAGAGGAGGCCCACTTGCAGCGAGTGGCTGCAGCGTCGAGACGTAGCAGCTTCTATGAGCTCAAGCGGGGCGGAACGAGCCTTGTTCATGAAGAACATCAAAGTGCCCCACTCCTGGCCCAAGGGTGGAAGCAGCAGGGCGGGATGCAACAAACCATCCCTGCAACTTTGTCACCCTACCTGTGGCTTACAAAAACTGCTGGAGCCACAGCCTCGTTTGGGTGTGCGTGGCGTTTTTGCAGGGCACCCTTGTTGGGGTTATTTCTTAGCCGAAAAGCCCGGCCATTTGGCATCCCATCCCCCCCCCCTCCGCACGTCAACACTCACGGCACATCTCGGTCGCTTCCCAGCGCCTCCTCGATGCCACCAAGGGCGGCACGGCGGTTCCCCGTGACGTAGCCGATGCAGTCTTGCGGCACGTCCTGAGCCAAGCAAACCTCCCACTGACGTCCTAGGCCTAGTTCACCCCCAAGTTGCGTCTTGACGCTGCCCAGCGAGGCTCCAAGATTGATAGATAGCCTTCCACTAGCACTCCCCCAAAAGAAAACGGAGCATGTACCTTGGTACCCTTTGCAAAAAAGGAAGAAAAAGTGGTTTCTGCGAGTTGCTCATGTAGAATCTCCACTTAGATGGCAACGGGGGGTAGGGGGGCGATCGCGAAATTGTGGGTAACCCTCGCCTCAAGGGTTTGTGAGGAATAAGTCGGGCTTGTCCGGGGATTGCTAACCACTGGCGAACTTCCAGGACATCCTAAAGCACGACTGGAAATATCGCAGGCTTCCTCCACAGATTGCTTCCCAACCACGGGAAAATGGGGAAAACCCCATTGATTACGGGGGGAGTTATGCCGCTCGCAGTTCGTGCCGCTTACTTACCTTTCTCTGACAGGACTCTCCTGACGGCTTTTCTCCTCTCAATGTTGCCTAATGTGGGTGTCCCTCAAAATAGGGGGCCAACTACTGCGACCGAAAAGGAGAACAGCCCACCTGCGACCGCCAGCTTTTTTCGTGCAAGCTGAGGGGAAGACCACCACGGTGATGTCGTCGCGGTCTTCCCAACCATGGACCTGTGTGCTGGCAGGGTTGGGTAAGTTTTGTCCCTTCCTGCTCAAACTGGCTCAAGCTTAAACGGTGAAGTACTTGTGCCTACCCTGGATTGACCAGCCGCCTATGAAAAAACAAATGATTGCTTCAACAAATCATCAAAGGTAGGCCTCAGTCTCCAAGAAATGTACATAGCATGGCTCTTCAATCACGCTTGGCCAAGTCACACGCATCACCGAAGCAGCCCGAACCAAACCAACCACAAGAACTCGCTAATCGCTGGGCTGCAGGCATAGACCGGCCCCTCCAGCTGGTCGAACAGCCACTTCATGTACTCCTCGCATGAAGTAAAAGGACGCACACCCTGCTGTGGATGGTTGCGAAATCCATTCCGCACCACCGAAATAATGATTCCCCAACGTAAATACCCACAAACTTTCTGGTTTCAACCATGGTTTCAAAGCGGTGCAGGATTCCGTCCATCCGCAGTACGGATGAGATGCTCCATGATGCTCCGGTACATTATTCATAGCCACTAACACTTGGATGAAGAAAAACGTGGACGGTACGATTCCCCGATGTTTGTCATCCCCTTTGCTCCAAGAAAGGGAATTGCGCCATCGACTTCTACCTTGGTGCATTGTTTGGACCGCGCGACCGACTCCAAGACGGGCTCTTGAGTGAAGCTGCCCAGCTTGCAAGCGGTTCGTAAGCTAGCCCAGAAAGTTCACCGGGTTGCCAGTGTATAAGTTGGCAATCCACGCATGGGTGGATGGACAATATAGCACCATAAGCCTGCAACGCGGCATATGTCCACTTTCTAAGTGGCTTGTACCACCTCCAGAATGTTGACCCCATGAATCAACCCTTGTGCATCGTTGGGGCGAGGGGGGGCGTCCCTGGGTTTAGTTTGAAATCATCACTTTTGGAGGGGAACACCCCCATACTTTTGGAGGGGAACACCCCCATATTAATAAACAGGGGTTGATTCATATGGGGTCAACCTTTCCTCCCAAAACCCCTCGGGGCACGCCGCTGCGCCCCGGTCCTTGGCGCGCTTGCGTTCCGCTTTGCAGCCCGAGAAGAGCGCGTTCTGGCGGAAGAAAACAAAACGCGGCGGAAGCAAGCGAAGAGTTCACACGCAGCGAACCTTTCTGTTTGCGCACCTGGACCCGAAAGAACTTCCCGTCAAGAAAGGGGATCCACCAACCACAATATTGGGTTGCAATAACCACGTTTGAGGGAAGCTTGAGGGTCCAGGTATTCTTGGTTGAGGTTCCGTGTCAAAACAAACCTCAGCCAGCGCAACTACCAAACTTCGGCCACTTGAACACGTCCTACTTTTTTCTCCTCGCGCTCTTGTGGCGCAGCTCGCGAGCGTCGCTTTCCAGCGCGGAAGATCGGAAGCTGTCGCAACTCGGCCCGCTCGGCCCGAGAGGAGGCGAAGGACCGGCTCCGTTGACGTCAAAGCCAGCCACTCCAAGGCGCAAAGTCACCGAGACCCAAAGTTCCGGCAGAATTGGCGCCATGTTTTGGTCATGGGTGTCCTTTTTGGGAAAATAGACGGCCCTGGTAGTTGATTGAACCACCAGGGAAACCAGGGCCCTTTTGTTTTCAACCAAATCAACCAAAAAGGACACCTACGGACCTATGGTTTTGGTAAACTCACCAAACTGTCCTTGGCCTTGGCCTAAACGCCCGCGAAGTCCCAGCCACGGGGCGAGGGCCCGAAGAAACCTTCGCCAGGAAGCCGCTAGATGTTGGTAAAGACGTGCGCCTGGATCAGGGAGCTGCAGTCGGCCTCGGGGCTAAGAGGCGGGGTCAAGGGCTTCCCAACAGGACCTCTGTTTTTCACTTGCTTAAACACCTACTGTTCCCCATAAAAGAGCGAATCGGGCGCGTTTGAACAAACTCTGCACAAGCCTCCTTTCCTGACCACCTAGCTTCCTGGCCTTCGAAGTAGACCCCTCCTGACTTAGCTTTTCTGAGGCCACAGAAAAGCTAAGACGCCCCGAAAAAAAGGAGAAAAAAAAAAGGAGAAAAAAAACGCCCATCAGCCAAGGCTCTTGTCCGAAATGATGACACAGCGCCTTTCCAATGAAACCGAGTTGGTACCCCTGCTTTGTGGGTTTTAAGGGAAACCAAAAGGACAACCGAGATTCATTTTGGGGGGTTCAACCTCAAAAAAAGACACACCCAAGTCCGGTATCCCTCAAACGCATCGTGCGCGTGGGAGTTTCGTCCAAAACCAAGTGAGGCACGAATTCTGCACCCCAACCATCACCCAAAAGCAACGACAAGGCCCCGCCCCGCCCAAATTGCGGTGGCACCCCCCGGCCGATCTTGCCCAAGGTGTGGAAAAGGAACCCTGGGTCGCGGCTTCTTTTCTACCAGTTTGTAGGGTCTCGGGATCCACTTCAATCTGGCAGGATGAATGATTGACCCTTCAGCAACTCACTTTCAGGGTTCCCCCATATTCCCCTTCATATCGAAAGGGAACACACCTTGAATTGGAAACTGAAAGATGGGGAAATATGGGGAAACATGAGTGTGTTTTCAGCAGCTGAGCTGTCCTCGGATCCCCTGCTAAAAGTTTAACCCACTAAACCCCCACTAAACCCCAAAAAAACAGATTCTTAAGGGACCAAGGGACGGCTGCGAACCACCCAGAAAAAAAGAAGAAAAAAGCAACTCCTTCTTCCCCCCCCCCAACCCCCCTTGCTTTGACCCTTTTCCATCAGACCGCCCTGAAGCACACGAAGAACACAGTTGGGCGCCTCCAGAAGGCGCGGGGTCTCCTGAAGCAGCTCGTGGCGACCGCAGATCACCACCGCGGTGTCTGCGAGCCTCGGAACGCGAAGCGGCCGGGCGGTCCTTGCATCGCAAGGACTGGACCTTGGTTGACGCCGGGTTTGGGGAGCATTCCATTTCCAAAAAACGTAGCAGCTAGGTGGATTTGGGTTTCAGGCACTCAACCACAATGTCAAGAGACGGCAAGGTGACGTCCCGTGGGACGCTGTGCACCGAACCCTCCAGCTGTAATACCAACCACGTAGAAAGGTGTATACGGACGATGCCGTTATAGCCGAACCCGTGTAAACGTTGTAAGGGAGAAGGAATGATAGTTACAACAGTGGTCCTGACAAATGCAGCGCAAGCGAAGTGTTTTCCGCTCTCAATGCCGATCACGTGTGAATGCAGCTACACATCAGATCTTGAACCTCAATTGTGTCTTGAGCCAAATGGCAATCAATGGAACTTGGTAAGCAACACCAACATAGACCTCAGAACAGCTTCCCAATTTAGGCACGGGGCCTAGAGGGTTTTAACATCCCCCATTTGGGTCGCATTGTTCATCATGCGGTCCAAACACCACAAAACGTTCCACTGGCCACGGCTTCAGCTACGAAATCGTGTCGTGCATTCTTTTACTTGCTATCGCTACACCGTTCATTCATTGTGAAACATGCCGGGTTCGATTGTATGAAAAGTGAAACATTCATCCACCAATCGAAGCGCACTCCCATATGCAGGTGTATACAATACACTATTGTCACGTCATTTGACCACCAGTGAACATCCCAGCTGCCGCATTTGCGCATCGCGCAGCCGTCATCCATAGAAAATGGGTTGGCCATAAGAGTCCAACAGAGGCGCCTGCTCGTAAGCAATCTGCATATCTCCGGCAAAGAAATATCGGTGAGCAACCAATGCAAATCATAGCCACTCCAGATACCACGAACACGCAATGAAAAAGGACATCATCCATGAGGTAATAGTTCCATCCATGAATATCCAGAATGTCATAGTCGTCGGAATATGTAACCATATACACATCCATTCATCTTGGACGCATGAAATCATATCATGACGTAAAGTCGTTCCATCGCAATGGTGTTGATGAGATGCAAGCAACGGATGGGGACTAACCCACATCGTGCCGCGATCAGCATCTTCACTACGCATACCTGTCCCCAATGGACAGTCTGTGAGTGCGTCGACGGAACTCCTCGTCCAAGTTCTTCTGGGCTTCTCGCGCCCGGACACACTTCTTGTTATGATCCTCTGGTAACCAGTGCCCTTTCCGAAGGCACCAATCCAGCAGAGGTGTGTCGCATTTGTTCGGGTCGATGGCCGAAATGATGGCGCTCACATTGACCGCGTAACCATATCTGCCAAGGTTCAGGCCATCCCTCACGAATGATATATACTTACAGTTGAAAGCCAGTGAAAAGCATCTGAAAATAATATCACCCACCGGGTGCACTCGGTCCTTGACCAGGAGCTTCATTTCGTCCTTGGTGACATCGAGGATTCTCGCTGCAATCCACAGCTTGTAGAATGTATATAATCCCTCGCATTTGCACACCATCATACGAATATACTCTTCACGCTCCTCAACCGATCGGAAGACCCTTGCCCGAACATTCTCCGATTGAGAAATCTTCAGCGCTGTTGATGGCAAAAGGATACCTTCCTGATCGTGCTCGGTGATGTTGGGGTATCTCTTGAAATCGTTGTGATAAGGGCAGCCCGTCCTCCCCTCGAGTCCGGCATTCATCGTTCTCTCCTCACCACCCTCGAACATCCCCCACATCTTGGACATCTGGAGTGCGATGAATCCCGCCATGTACTGAGCCTCGCGTGGCTCATCAAGGCAAATCGCCATCCGCTGGGAATTTATGATATCCCGTGATGCCAAATCAGTGTCGCGGTAATACCAACCGCTGTCTTCCTCATCAGACGCGTAGCCGGATGTATACCCTTGCGTGTCCACGTCGTCTTCTTCTCCAGGAACTTCCTCCGCCTCGTCATCATCCTCCTGTGCTGCCGCATCATGGTTGGCTTCTTCTTGTGCACGCCTGGCATCACCCGAGACATTGGGCTTTTCGTTGTCCTCCTCGTCATCGGAGTTGATGTGGATGTAGTACCTCCCGGTGGAGATCAGTTGCGCTTCACATTCCAGGCATAAGCAGAAGCACGTGGGGATTGCGGTCGCACATGACGGACATATCCGGCATCTCAGTCCTTCCCATGTCTCATCATTCAGGATGACGACCTTGCTGACTTCGTCCCTGACCTCGTTGACCAGTGCATCAAACTCCTCCATCTTGTTGTTCCGATAGAGCTCGCATGCACGGTCAACCATGTCCTTGATGTAGTGCAGATTATCGGCACCCGCCTCGGTCTCAGGCATCCTCTCGTTGATCTTTGCGACGTTTTGGAGGAACATCGCAGCCGACTCTTGGGATGAGTTGACGAAACCAGGACAGATCTCGTTCTCCACACACTTCGAGTACGCTCTCTTGATGTCAACGTACTCCAGGCGTTTCCCTCCGTTGCTCTTGCCAATCCAAATGGACTTGACCTCATAGAACGGGATCACGTCAAAGACCATGAATGTCCCATTTGCCGCGACTCCAGCATACCGCGCGAGGGTTGCACTGGGAATGTAGATGATCGCAATCGGGTCCCCCTTCCTTACGTTCCGTAGCGTCACCTTCGTTGCCACGTTCATCTCGTCCCATGGAGCAAACGCCCCAAAGTGCAATGCTAGCCTGTTACCGCCATCGATTCCGCCGGGGACTAACCCACAGCGTACGATGCTGGCAGATTTTCCACATACGTCACATGGAATGCTCCTCCGAGAGAATCACCCATTCTTGCGGAATACCTATTTGCCAGTGCGGATGAGCTCATGAATCCAAAATCACTGTGACCAGTTGTGACTCGGATGCACCAAGGTCTGTACCACCCATCGCATCTGTTGAACATCCTGTCGATGTCATCCCGATCCAGGCCAGCTTTGGTCATTTCCTCCCTGGCCGCCCTCGTGTCGTTCGGGTTCATGATGCTTGGAAACCTTGCTGCCAGGACCTGAAATCTCGATTTCCTGTGTCCAGATTCCTGCCACTTGATCACCTCCATGATGCCCATGTATCGTTTCGCTCTCGAGGTGTTAGGTGGGAATATGTCGTTGTTCCGGTCGTCAATGACTGCATCAATGTCGACCCATCCACCTTCGTCGCACCTGAAAGCACTTCCTCGGCAATTGCCGATTTTGTGTCGAAGGACTCTGCATAGGTCGTGAGATAGCTGGTTTGCTTGGTCTTTCGTAGCAAATACCGAGCGATCATCGCCAATCCTGCATAGTGGAGCACCGTCAAAAGGAGCAACGCAAAAATTGACACTCTTGCCAAGCTGCATCACATCCACCTGCTCAAGGATGGCACCTTTGGGAAAGTACCTGGGGTCAACAATAGACGCGTATGCCCATGGCAAATGCACATCACTCATGTCGCCGTACTTCGGGATGTAGCACGGGATGGTGTCACACCCCATCTCTAGCGTCTTCTTGAATGTCCTGTTGTCCCCGCACGGATTGTAGGTGAGGTCCACGCCACCGCACTGCAGCTCTCCTCCCTCAGCCGTGTCAGCCATCTCCACCAAGTTGATGGTATAGCTATACATTTCAATTGTTTCTTTCCCTGCTTGTCCTCCTCTCTTTCGTTCCTTGGATGTTGATGAGGACGGTTCCTCCGTATCCCCCATATCTTCATCCGATGAAACAGGATCACTGCTGAGTAGCTCACGGATCTTCTTCATCGCCTTCTCATTCCCAGCAGCCTCCTCAATGTCCTTGCAGTCGCCGTCGTGGGCCAGGTTCGCGCACTTCATGCAGATTCCCATTTCTCCCATGCACTTCTCCATTGATTCCAGGAATCCTAGTGCCGTTCTCCGCCCATCGATCACTCGCTGCTTCTTTTCTTCCTTCTCAGCGTTGGGCTGAGAGCTTCGGCTCGGGTCTGGTGCTTGACCAAGACCGTCACCTTCGCCCTCCGTTGCCTTTCTCTTGGACCCTTGGGCAGCAGGCTCAGTTATCAGGGATCGCGGGTGTCTGGGCTTGACTTTGTTCATGATGTCCAGCACTTCTTTCGTGGGCACCCCGAGTTGTGCAGAAGGTTTGTTCCGCCTCCGGTTCTGGCCCGTCGTGTGGGTCACGTTCCCGGCGAGGTGTCGTACGATCGACTGCTCGAACTCCCTCTTGATCTTCCATGCATCCTTCCACAGCGGTAGTTCGTGCTGAAAGTACGACATCACCTCAAAGAATCCCAATACCATCTCGACGACGTCCCCCAAGGATTCCTCGTTTGAAGTCTGTCCCAGGAGTTCATACATCGTCCCCTGATCGAGCACGCTCTTGATCCAGGATGAATAGGCCACGTTGCCGAGATCCTTGTCTATCATGAAGATGGACATTCTCTCCTCGATCCCCTCGGAATTCTTGCACGTGATCACATCCCGGGATGCACATAATTGCTTCCCGTGACCATTGTTGTAGAACTGTGCTGCCTGATCCACTGTCATGCTCACGAAACCCACGTGGGAAAGCTCCTTCTTCAGCTTAGAATATGCGAGCTCCCGTATAATCGTGATCATGGCCTGGACGTTGTTGACGTCCACCATGAGGTTTTGGAGGTCAGGGACCGCTACCACGCATTCCGCGAAGAGTCGCGTATACAGCTTCTTCCCTTCGATAGACCTCGCAATGCCGTTCGTGTCTGCATTCCAGTTCGCGCAGCAGTTCACGCAAGAAGTGGGATTGAACTTCGAGTTTGGCCCGAGCACCTTCGACTTGTTCACCTGCATCTCTCTAACGCAAAGTTCGCAGATAAACCCGCTGAGCTCCGTGACCGAATACCATCGAAGACGTTGATCACCGACATCGGTGTTCCCAAACGCATCTTGTCCGCCGTCGCCTTCGTCTTGCTGCTCTTGTTTTCGCTTTGATTGTGCAGTGAAGGTCGGCTTGTACTCAAACTTCACCTTCGACTCCTCCATGTTCT